CCGCTCCCATGCTGTGCCAGGGGATTCGCATTTTCAGACGTTTCCTAATTTGCTGCTGACTGTTGATGAGAAAATGGAGCTGCAGTAACAGTGTGGTGTTTATCTTGGTAGCAGTTACTGTTTTGCCTTTATGGATCACAGATGTCTCATTTTAACTTTTAACAGACTTCCAAAATTCCACTGAGTCACCAGACCAGCCAGTACACATACAAAATCATAGCTTTTTCATTTACATTCACATCATTTGAACACATCCATGCTGTGTATATTTAGATCTTTTTCTGCTCGAAAGTATACTGCACAGTTATTCTGTGTGAGTCTCTGTTTTCCAGGAGACTGTGAATCTATATTTGTGTTTTGTCAGAGAAGTAGACCAACATTACACCCGTTGAAATCGTTCTGAATCAAATCTTTATGTTTCTTAGGTGTTTACTCCTCCATGTCTAAAACATGTTTGTCCTGCAGCTGGCTGTGCTGAGGGCAGTGCCCAGAGGAATGTACGACGGGCCCGTGTCTGAATTCTCCATGTCCCGCGGCGGCACACCCTCTGCCTCGGCCCGCACCTCACCCACCAAGCAGCCGGTCAGAAACCTGCACCAGTCTGGATTCAGTCTAGCAGGTAATGCCATACCAACACATCCTAAAAAAACACATCCCTGTTGTCTTTCTTCTGTGCTTTGCCCTTTAGGTACTGACATCAAGAGACAATTCATGTGCTTCAGTTTCTCCTAATATTGATGTTAGCTGTAATTTGAAGCATTCATGGCATTCATGCTTACTTTTATTATCTTGTTCTCAAACATTATTTGTTAAATTAATTTCTAAACTGAAGCTGTGGTTTTATTTTTCCATTTTATACATTATATTAATTATTGACAAGGAGTCTTTTATTGCTAATAGCAATAGTACTGATAGTGAGCAGTAAGATTACTAGGGTTTAATTTTCTTCATTATTGATTTATTCAACATATAATTTGAGTGAGGATTTCTGGGTAATATGCTACATGTCTGCCTTCATGTTCTGGCAAAACATAAGCAAAACTTCAGGCCCAACTCGTCTTTTTAAAGGCAATCTTCTGCTCTCGTCTGCACATCAAAAACTGGCCAATTAGTAAAAGCACAAAATATGTTTTGTTTCCTGCTACCTGCTTATTACATTTAGTAAAATCAGATCAGCAGAATTTAACTACCTCCTCTTCAAATTGAATAAGTCAGAGTGAAGAGAAGTTTTCCTGATTGATAATCTGACTGCATTTGAAGTGATACATTTTCCTTCAAGGCTGAAACATTGGTTTTCCAGTCCAAACATCTTGACCTGGACTGAAAGGTCGGTCTGATGTGTGAGGTCACAGTAATATCCCTGTTTGGCATCTGTTGCATCATACAGAGCTCCAGCCTGACAGCATGATTGTGCCCAGATGTCAGGTTTGCACAGAACAAAATTAGAAATGTTAGTAATTGTTTCAGCCAAACTGCCAAATCGTGACATACTTTGGACTTGGAAAAATAGTTGTTAAATAAAGACAGAAAGGTCTTTAATTAGAAGAAAAATCATTTCAGCTTTTAAAAGTAAATCTTGTATTTTTTTATAGGTAATAACTGACTTTGAACGACGTTCAGCTCAATGCATAGCTTCTCTTTGCAAGCCATGCTGATGAGCGAGACGTCGCTGAATAAATATGACCTGTGTTGGAAAGAATTCCAACTTTGATTACATATATCTGAGGCTGCTCCTGCTTTCCCAGGTTTTGCAACAGTTTGTGTGATCTTGTGTAAGCATGTGCGTGTGTGTGTGTACATGTGTGCGTATGCATATTTTGAGAATGAGTTCCACTCCTCTTCTATTTTAGTTTTTGTGAAGCTACCACCTGCAGAGCTGATTTACTTGTTTGGAAGGAGACGGAGAGGATTGTTTGATTAGTCACAGTGTCTCATGGTCTGACATCATTCTGTTTTCCATTATTGTGTTTGCAGATTATTTGATTTGGCCTCTGGCTCGTCCTTTGGAAACTATACTATAATGTCTTGTAGCTGCTATGGAAGTGATTCTGCAAAATGTAACAGTTTAAATATCTAGGAGAGCAATCTGAGAAATAAATATTTTGAGTAACAATTATTTTTGTGCCAACGTAGAAAGAGCTTTTAGATAGCATATAAATCTAAACAGTTTGACAAATGGTGTCGCTGGTTTCCAGAGGACGGTGCCAGATTCTGATTTTGGCTGCAGTTTCATGACACTGTAATGGTTATGCAGGCCTGTGTCAGTCTATAAATCACAGCAGCACTTCATTCACACTGCAACAAAATGTTGGAAAAAGAGCTGTTCTTATTATTCACAGACTTGATTGTTTTAAATCAGATTTGATTAATTAAGCAAATAAATCGAATTGATAAATTCATCTGGTTATGTAAATTAGTGTATTTTTCACAGAGGGGGGTGAATTGAGTTGGTTTCACCCATTTGATCTCTGATGTTTGCGTGTTAAAGTTTTGTGAATCATTTTCTCGGTTCATTAATTAGGAGTTTTCCAAAACACAGCGTCAGGATTGGGTGATATCATTCCCTGTTCCCATCATTCCCTGTTCCCATGTACAGTGTAATCGCAAAATACGAAATTAAGTCATGAAAGTATATGTCCCCTTTGTCAACTCTTGACTTTACAGACTGTTATTTGTTTAGTAAATTCTAGTGGAAAAACTGATTAAGTCTAGTTGGAATAAAACTGCCTTGTTCATCTCTCTTTTCTGTTTTAATCAAATATTATTAAAGAGGCTTAAATTGGTGTAGAAAGTTCAGAGTTTTAATTTATAGATTGTGGAGAATGTGAAGAACAACATTTCGTGATGTTACAACCACACATTTAACACAAATTGTAACATCTGAACATTGAGTGTGGAGAATATTTTTCTCCTAACCATTTAGGCTCCTAGGATCTTTAATTTTCTTTTTTTTATTGATTTAAGTGCAAGAGAATAAGCAGTTAATAAAGCTTGTGGTAATTAAAGTAAACATATGGATTTAACAAACCATCAATGATTGCCTCTTGTTTGTGATGTAACGTTTTAACTCTCATTTCTGTGTAGGTCCTCCCACCCCAGAGGACGCTCCCATCAGGCCACCTGGCCGCCGTATTGTAGTGCCCCCCGGTGGTCGATCCAACATCACATCTCTCAGTTAAACAGCAGGACAACGCTTCAAGAAGAACAGAGTGGACGATAGAGGGAGGGGACGAGGGAGGGAAAGAGGGACAGAGGACCAGAGTTAGTAAAAATTTGAAGAGCAAAACACTGAATCCTCATGCCTTACCTGTCACACTGCTACTATGCTCAGATGAGAATTGTATCCGTTTTCCTGGACAGAACAGAAACAGTTAGAAGTTGCCAACAAAGCACATTTCACATGAACAATGTCAGCCTCAGTTCATGTCAGTGCAAAATACTTCATACCAACCACACAGCCATGTTCTCATGCTGCTTTGGTAGCAGAAAAACTTTACATCATCACATTTAACCCTGAGAAGGAAATAAAGTTTTTCAAAGGAAGATGGATACTGATTTTCTAGGGATTCTCCTTTTACCCTGCTTGGCTTTTAATATCACCCCCTTTCAGTAGCTCGCTTTCTCCATAGTCAGCAAGACTGTACAATAGATCCCACAATAGCCATGTTTTGTCATGCAGTACCATTGATTAGCTCTAGTTGGCAATGTACATACAGTAGATGTAATGTAGCTTTGTGAATGACGTGGTTGCAGCCTGTTTGGGTTTTCTGGACCAATTAAAATACGTTTATCACCTCTAAACACAGGAGGGCAGCTGGACATGGAGCTGCATGAGCCACATTAATATGGGCGACGTGATCCATGATCCTTTTCCAGCTTCTCCTGTAAGGCCGTCCTCATTATGTACTGTATTGATGTTAAAAAAGACAATAAGATCAGTGTTTGAAAACACACAGAAAGAGGAAATATTAAAAGTGTTTTTATTATTCTTCATTCCCTAAAGGTCCGTCAGATTTTTTTTATCTTGCATTCCTTCATTTTCTTGTGTAAAGAATATGGCAGGAAACACTCCTTTGCATTTGCTTCATGTAAACTGGCTGCCTCTGTGACGCTGTGACCGTTTCAACAAAACACAACGATGGAACTGAAAGGTGCTAAAAAATAAATACAAACTTCAAACTTGCTGGGTAAAAATAAACCTCTTATTACTGCTCTTTACTAATGTTTTTTTTTATTTATTTTTTAACATGGTTCTCATTTGAAGGACAATTGGACGATCATCTTTCACTTGCGATCCCACCTTAACCCTTTAATAAAATCCTCAATGCATTCAACAGCAGCCGGGAAAAAGCCAGTCTGTTTTCTGATAAGGCAGAGGATGGCAGTGCCGTCAGGGAATCCATTCTCTTTAAGTTGCTCTTCATTTGGCGACAATTGAAACAAGATGCTCTTTTTATTCCACACAGTAAGGCTGAGATGAGTTGTGGGTCTTTTTGTATTTATGTTAGGATGACAACCTTTGTTTTACTGTTACTTTTCTTTTTTAATTTTTTTTTTACTTTTGTGTCAGAAATCTGAGATGGCAGGTCATTTAAAAGTGTGCTGGTATGAAATGTTTCCTGAATAAACATGAGTTGCAGCTGGTGTTATCTCTGCATTTCATTTCTTTGGTAATTCCCTGGATGTTCCTGTTAGTTATTGTGGTTTACTTTAAGGTTAAAATGAACCACTATCAATGTAATCAGGATATAAAATATTAAGAAAGTAATATACACTGAAACTAAATGACATGACAGATTTGATTTCGTTTGGTTTATCTACATAATCCATCAGTTTGCTAAAAAAAAAAGAAAATCTAGAATGGAATTAGGTTTGGATAAAATGTGGTCATGAGATTGGTTTATGGGGTGAATTTATTTGGAAATAATCCATTGTTTACACATTACTATTAAGAAAACTTGAATATTAATTACACTCCACACTTCCACATTTGACGTCTGTATTTATTTAAACAGATCACAAACATCCTGTTTATGGCCTGGTCAAAAAATTAGAATCAATCTAACATTTCACATACAGTCAACCAGAAGTTTACAGACAATCAGTGAAAAATGAATCATACATTTGGTTGACTGTCTGAACTTAAATCAGACTGAACTTCTCTTTTTTTAGGTAAGAATTACTGAAATTATTTCTATTTGCAAAATGCCACAATAATGAGATTATATGTCAGAAATGTATTTATAAAGTCTTCAAAATTATCATTTTACTAGCCACCTCTGCACTCAAGCAAACACAAATTAGTTTACATAAATCTGACTAAAACTAAAGAAATTTGCTCTGATTTAACTTCAAGCAGTGAGAAAAAAGGAGTGCGTGTTTTTTAATTTATTTTTATTGATGAATGTAAACTTCTGGTTTCAAGTTAAGATCATGAATGGAAAATGAATGAAAGAAAATCAAATTTCGTGTCTAAAACAATGTAGAAACCCGTTTTTTACTCAGGAACATGTCTACTCTGAATGCATTTCTTTTCAAAATCTTTGTCTCATATTTTACTTTAAACATCTTGATACCAAATTTATATGCTGATGTGGCCTGCTTATCTGCAGCAGTGCCAGACAGAAGCGAAAGCATTTATCAAATGAAAACCCCCTCTCTAGTTGAGCCAATATTGTGGAAAGCGCTGCCTCAGCTAAGTCTGCAGTGGAGGAAGGAATGGGCTGTGCCCTCCAGATGACCTCAGGGAGCAGTTAGTAAATCGTAAACAGTGGATGAGTGTGTGTAAGAGGGAGAGAATAGCTCATAAAGCTTGTCAACTGCAGCAAAAGAGGAAGTCTTTTTGTTGCCTCATGTAATTAAATGTGTTTTTTACTTAACTATTCACTTAAAATGTTGTCTTTTTGTAAAAAAAAACCCTCTCAGCAGTCATATTAAGACTCCCTACATTTTAGCCATTTGTTGTAACACCAGTGAAACAACACTAGAGGGCAGCCTGCACTGTGATGAAAAAAAGAATGAAATAATTCAATACACTAGAACAAAGCAAACAACATAGGTGTATTGTTTCCAAAAAAGAAATATATTATTTAAGGCACACATTAAAAGTTTAAATTTCATCACAATTGCTCACAGTAAATACACAATGACAACTAAAGGACAGCTGAACATGGGGAAAATTCACAGTTGCACAATTCTCTTATCAAATAATAGACTAGAGTTATGCTTAGATTCCTCCCTAAGCATAACTAAGATTCCTCCCTTTTACTTTCATTTACCTGGTATACACACTATCGGTAAATGTTATCCAAATATCAATGTCAGAAATAATTTTGATTGAATATCACTCATTTTATTCATTACACTCCCTCTTTGTTGGTAGTCAAACGCTGCTTTAAATTTATAGGTTTGAATAATCATTCCCCAAATATTATTTACACAGTAAAACAAGCTCAGACTAATCCATTAGCTACCAAGATATGCCTACAACTTACACAAAGTACCATCTTTAGACGTGTGAAGTAACAAGAACACAAAGGTGAGTCAAAACATTGTACCAATCTTAAATAGAAAAGTGCCATTATTAATTAATTTAAATAACTAAATTTATTTTAAAGTTAATAAAGAATAATAAAGAAGCTTGAAAGGACTGACTCACATTGCAGCGAGATAACAGCAGAGTCAGTGGAGCAATGAGTCATCGCTAAAAATTATATTTTTATTCAGTAGCTTTAAAGAAGGTGAGGATTTCTTTACTTCTACATACATGAGTTAGATTAGTGTGATATCTATAAGGCATCCCTCTTTGTGCAAGCAGGCAAATATTTTGAGGGGATGAGTTGATGAGAAATGTTTATTCTAATAACATGATGAGACATTGTTTTGATGCCTCGTGTGTGCCAGGCGCAGAATCCTGGATTTCAATATCATACAAACATTTTGCAGAGACAAACAGACAATGAGGATTTCAAATGATAAATAACTGATCAAAAGAGGAAATACATCAACACACATCTGGCAGAGTGCAGACGCTAACTGCTAAAATTCATCTGTCCAATTCCTAGGACTTACTCATTCACAGCATTAGTTGCATAAATGCTACCAATAATGACAACAATATGTGCAAAAAGAGAAAACAACAATCCCTATATAGTAGGCCATTTGTAGACGAAGGCTACGTTTTCTTTTTTCTTCAAATTTTTGGTCAAGGGTAATCAATTATGGCAACATTTAGTTTCCTAGTTTCCCTCAAGATTGAACCATGTTTCATCTTCTTGTTTGATTCCACAAACAAATTTTTCTAGAACTAAAAACCATAACTCTGAGCAAATCACTAAAATTTTACTCTTTTCTCTTACGGTCTGAATTGCGGCATGACACTAAATGTTAAAGACCTATCATAATTTCTTGCTGAATTAGCCAAGCTAAGCATCAGGATCACTAATCCATTTAAATATTGCCCTGAAAAAGCAAGCCATTCATTTTCAAGCCTCTAATTCAAATCGAATCATTCTTACATCGCTAAAAACAAAGTTTGGTTTTGTTTAATAAGACTAGCAGTTTAATAATGCTACTTCTGTCATGCTTGTATCCAAAGGTATAGGGATCATAGAGGAAAAATGTTTCTACGCAATGGTTTATTCTTATTAAATGTTTCAGGCTCAGCTCTTTAGGTTGTCATACACAGGATGACTGAAGAATCACTTTAAAGTTGGCGGCGCTACATGAAGCAGGTCATGCTTCTGCAGACCTTTGAGGTTACTCTCTGGAATGCAGAGATTATTCCACCAAACTGATTATGTTTTTTCCTAGAACTGAGACGTTACTATCCTGGGACTTGAATGTCACCTTCCAAAACTTACCAGACTCTTTCCAGACCAAATCTGGCGCTTTCTGGAAAACTGTCTGATAAGTACCTAGATTCCTGGTAGGTACTTATCAGACAGCTTTCCAGAACTTCTATGTCACATAGCAAGACATGCCTTGTTTTTTCCTGAACCTGCAGTACCATGCAAAACTATTCACCAATCTTGACAGTTTTTATGTAGACACTGTTCAATTGACCAACGTAAATCATGTACTTCATAGAGCTGGGCTTTATGAAAGAAATAAAAAAAAAAAAAAAAAAAACACGTTTCAGTCACCAAGGAAAACATTATGTCTGGCTAAAAATCAACACATCTCAGCACCACAAGAACAAACCAGCAGGGTCTGGAAAACTGGAGCTGAGGGGAAGATGAACGGAGATAAACACAGGAATATTCTTAAGTGTTTCAGTATGTCAGCGATGTGAAACTGAAGCACCAGTTTAATGGGAAATTTTACATGTGTTGGCAAGGTCTAATCAAAGGCCAGACCTCAATTCAATTGACAGTCTGTGGTCAGACGTCGAGATTGCTGTTCACCGGAAACCATCTAGATTCTTGAGGAATGAGCAACAATCCCAGAGGCAAGATGAGGCGAGCTCTTAGAGATCTAACCAACGTGACTTACAGATGTAATTGCTGTTGTTTGTTTCACAATGAAAAGAAAATTAAATGTTGAAAGTTGCATGGTCTTTAAATGAAATTATGCAAATCCTAAAATAATCCCCTTTTCCAGGTTGTGAGCTAGAAAACACAAGAAATGCCAAGAGGGGTGAATACTTTCTCAATGTACTGCATCAGATAGTATCTGGAAATTACAAGTTTTTCTCCTGAACTTACCAGCTACTTTAATTTAGAGGATACTTTTCTAAAATGTAGAGGTTACCATTCAGAACTCATCAGAATACCCGTACGGTTCCAAATATCTAACTTTGAGTTTCAGGAAATTAACTGCCATGTTTCAGAAAGTGTCTAAAAAATCCTGTAAAATCTTCAGGGAAGGTACCAAAACAAGCTACAGAAAACAAACTCAGTTCATTATGGAAAGTACCTGGTAAGTTTTGCTACATTTTCAGAAAGAAACGTCTTCCTTCCATAAAAATAACTTTTACATTCTGTGAAATTACAGCCCTATTATGGAGCACTACCAACTGCAATGTTATAATTAAATGACCATAGTTACCCAGAAAACCTCTCATAATAAAACTAGGGTCAGTACATTCAGGTGGAGGTGCTCTGTTGTCTTGGTTTTGGAAATGATCTGGCTTCTTGCTACAGCACTTTGCTCAGAACCGAGGCTGAGCAGATGCAAGAGCACCAGGGTGACTCTGCTGGGAGTCCATCCGTTTGGTGACAGCAAAGCAGTCCGTCAATCATCCTCTGACATGGCTGCCTCCCAGGGACACCATCTTTTGACACCTAGCTGCTTTTTAGGTCTAATGGTGTGAAACAAGAGTGCACAGTGCTGTTCTTGAGATTCTACAGACTATGAAGGAGTGCATGAACATAGAGGACCAGGTGTGAGTGCATGTGCTGACAGAACGACAGGTTTTGCTTGTAAGTTGCTGAACTGCAAGCTGGAGGCAAGTACAAGTGATGAGGTGGGGAACTGGGAGCAGGAAGCCTATCCTGATAAATAGGGAGCTGGTTCAACATTGTTGTTCTGTCCATCCTCTATTGCCTTGTTCTTCTCACTTGTGGATAGTTCAGAAGAATCCACTACGACTTTCCTTGACCTGTTGAGATAAGAACAAAGATCTAATGATGACCAAATGATTTTAATGATCTTATTCTTTATAGTTTCTCCCCAAAGCTCTATATTTCTAAAATGCATCCATGTTTCCATGATATGATTTTCAGTTGGTAATTTAAGAATTCATCACTAAATTATTTCTAACATCTGATTTTCAATGAGTAAGTTGCATAACCCTAATATTTTTAACAGTTTTTATGCTGATTTTATATTTTTTATTCGCTTTGTTTTGGAAAACAATGTTTACCAGTTACAGTTACTGGAAAACATTGTGTTGGTTAATGTAACCTTAGAAATGTTTGAGCGATGTTTGATCTTTTACGGTTTCAGTCACTATTACAATATTTGCAACCAAAGGTTTTTGTTTTCGGAGGGTGAAATTTATAAAAGCAGAAAGAATGAAGAATTAGCTCAAGTCCACCTTTTTCTCAATACTTTGAAGTTTTCTAATTTGCCTTCCACATTTATATATTTAGGAAGAGGTGGTAAAAGTCTTACTTCTTGTCTGTAGTGTTTTCCTGGCATAAATCTTAAAACTTTTTTCCTCTGCCTCACAGTCAACAGGACGGCTCCTGTTGATATCATTTGCTGTGTTTTTGCCTTGATCATACACCCACAAACATACCATAAAAAAATCAGTTTACTTTTCTTTCACAGCATCCCATTTGATTTTATCAGCCACCAAGGAACACTTTTGATTTAATTTAATATGCTTTTCCCAAGTCTAAAAATTTTAGCATTTGAGTCTTTACCCTTGGTCTCAAATGTATTTAATTATTTACCAGTAATATATTTTCAGAGTAAATGCTGCTAGTGTGATTTCTTTGACCACAGGAGGTTGCAGTGGAGGCCTGGAAGCTTCCTTACTTTTCTCTGTTGAAGACAATGAAGTCCCTTTGGACGTTGTCCAAACGCTGCTGCAGCTGTCCATTCTGGAAAAAACAGATAAAAGCAGAATAAATAAGAAAGTCAATAATGGCAACCGTGTCAAAGGAAAAACCCCATAAGTTATGAGAATTAGGTTTTGTAATAACTGGTTGATCAATTCATCCTTTGATTCTGTTTTAATAGTATTTTACTGTAGTGTATGGTTTATATTACAAATGTCACATGTAACATTCCTCGCCGTGTTTGCTCCTTTGTGACGATGACAGTTGAGGAAGGAACCCACAATGCTTTGCAAAAACTTCCATATCTCTTAAACTAATTCACATTTTGTCAATTTATACCAACCAATCTAAGCATCTTTTGTAGATTTTATGGAATAAATTTAAATCAGGACAACAAATTTCCTTCAGGGGAAATTAATTATCGACAGAGTGATTTAACTTGACAAAAGGTGAAAAAGTTCCAGATGTTGAAGTTTTACAGGTAGGTCTTGTATCTTTGAAGGACACGAACACTCAGATGTTTCCACCTGCTTTTTCTGTAACGTGTTCCACTCCATCATGTGAGATCAGGCAGCACCAGGCCTCGACACTAATGTAGTGCCAGGACTGGCAGACAGGAGCTTTCTCATGCTCCTAAAGAGGCAGTGAGGAAAGAGATCATAAAAATAGATAATCGCCGATTCACTTTACTACAAGTGGATGTGAAAGAGAAATGATCCCAGACAGAAACATGAAAGAAAAAAAAAACTTTTCCTAATATAATGTGGAATGTCATTAAACGTTATTTAGATAATTAACCTTTAAGAAATGCCAAAGCCACCATCTGAGGATTTGGAAAAGGTCTAAACTTTATTGAATTTGCTAAGCGTGTAGATTATTAGTGTATCTAAGGAAGTCTGCTCTTATTCTCATTTAAATGATCAAACATGGAGTCCCACTTGTGCAATGAGCAACGTTCTGTTTAAGCTTATTTTAACTAGGTCTTAAATCTAGGAAATTGTTAAAGTCAGCTCCAAAGGTTTAAGTCCAACAATGAAAAGAGGGCGGGTAAGGGAAAAGCTTTGGGCAAATAAAAGCTAAATGATTATGAAGACAGGAAGAAGAGATGGAGGTTAAAAAGGAAGAAAAGAGCCAAAAGGCCAAGAGATGGAATTTTATAATAATCTTACATAGTAGAGCAACAAAGAGAAAAATCTTACAAAGAAGAATCACTGGCCAAGCAATTTTATAGCAAACAGACAGATGTGAGCTAGACCTGCTATTAGAAAGAAAATAATTTTATGGGACACAAAATGTGACAGAACAAAAAGAACCTGATGCTGGTCTTGAGGACAGGGTGTACTTCTGATGTGAACGGCAGAAAGGACAAAGAAACAAACAAAAGCAGCAAAAGAAAGTCAAGGAATAGGAATAACAGCACATGTGGTGAACCAAAAGAAATAGATGTGATACAGAGAGGACATCACAGGCTCACATACTTTACAAACACGACTAGAGTTAATGTTCAACATCTGCACAGCCATTTGTTAGCTTGTGTATTAAAAAACTGCTTTTGGTCAGGTTTTTGATACACAAGTATTCATAGATTGCAGATGTGAAACTGTAGCAAAGGTTTCAGCTGTGTTTCAGGAGAGATGGTAAATATATAAAGCTTTCCATGACACAACAACAAACATCCTGCATGTCTGAAAACAGGACTTGTCTGACTAAAATACTACTAAAGCAAACAAGTGTCTGTTTGTGCTACGTTAACCAAGGCTTATGTTGTAGCTGACTGAACTGTGCTTTTTGTATCTATTATAATTATTTAAGGACTTATCAGAAGAAGGATGTTGCCTTAATGTCTATTATAAACTGATAAGATATAGTAGTTTAAAAAACCCCAAAACAAACAAACAAACAAACAAAAAAAAAACACTGGCCCTGCTTAAAACCTGAATATAAGGCTAAGTGCTGATGATTCCCTACATGTTGACACTGCTTTAGTGGATGCTTTTAAACAGACAATTTAGAGGCTAAAAGCTCCAAATACTGGATTAAACTGTCCACTTAGTGTGACAACCCTACTGAGAAGTGGTCTGCTGGACGAAAGCCCAAGAGGGACATTCTTCTGAGATTTAGCATTTGGGCTAACAGTGTTTTGTCTGAAGTTAACTTTGAGTTGCAGCCGATAAAGAATAATTCTCACTGATAGAATTATTTAATGGATATTAGTATTATCTATACTATTTTGTCTAATAAATTCATTTCAAATAAATGAGCAAAACAAGCTGGAAAATTAAAGATGGACAGAGAAAGAATCACAGAAATCCACTGAAAACAAATTATGCAATAAAAAGCTTGACATTTATCAACAAATGTCTGAATTATATGTGGAAAGTACATTTTTAGAAAAGGTCACTTTGTGAAATGACTGCAAAGCTGCTGAATTCTCTGTCATCTTTGTCAATTAGTTGAGGCAACACAAGCAACGCAGATTTAGCGTAATAAAAATATTGAAGTTTCACACAGCGCATTAGTTTTGGAAATGAAAACAACACGAAGGAATGAAGAGTTACTGGAACTGAAAGTGTAAGGGGCCAATAGTTGAGAGAATTGTTGAGGAAGTCTCAAGACAGTGAAAGAGCAAAGTATGAAGGGAAGAGGATGAAGATGAGAAGAAACAAGAGAGGTCCAGACAGAATATAGAGCAGCTGCAGGGCAATGCACAAAAAGCATGCTGGGACAAGCATAAGGCAACTTTTTCATTTCTTATTGATCCACCAGGCTTCAGCCAGCATCTCGCTCTCTCTTCACACACAGACAACACACACACTCTTTCTTCTGTTCCATCCTTCATAAGTGGCCCCAAAGGCCTTTCGTAAATGGATATGTTAAAGTGTTGCACAACCACACCAGATATTTATAGACAGTATCATCTTTGACTGATAGAAACAAATATCAGCAAATGATGGAACATAACATGGCAGACAGAAGTGTGTCCAGTGGTTTGGATTAATTCGGGACAATGGACTCCATCCGAACATATTTACCTGCGGGGATCCATCGGATCCCTGTTCCCTGGTCTTTCTGGCTAGTCTTTTCTTCTTCTTATGAAGTGGTTTGGACTCCAGGATCATTTCCTCCAGCTCAAAGGTGGGGTCACAGTTTAGTCTCCGTCTCTTTATATAAAAACAAAGAACTTTTAAGGAGATTGAAAGAAGATGTTTTCATGTTAGATGTTACAAGTTTACATAAAACTAGTGGAAAAAACCAAGGTCGTTCAGATTTTTACAGGTAGATATCAAGATGCTTTCTCTGATTTCAGTTTCAACTTAAGGGGCCTCCCAGCATCCTGCCTGGTGCTACTCTGCACACACTCCCCCCTGCAAATGACCTTTTACTTGCATATGCTGTTTCTGTATAGATGCTGAAAATACAAGTTGCAATTTTGTCAAATTAGTATGCATGGCAAGTCGGGTAGATGGATTCAAATGAAGCCAATATTTATTTTCAGTGGGAGATTGGACTCAGCCCACCAGGGTTTGGCGTTTACAGCTGCCAGAGAATAATGTGCTGCAGATTGGATTGTGCTTTTATTTGTCTATGCCTACTAAACATTTTTTTTGTTGTAAATTTAGGATAAAAAACATAAAATAGTTTTAGAACTAAGATTTATCAAGGAAAAAACCAACATCCACCTCTGTGTAAATATAGTAGCATTGCTTGCTTTGGTAATCAGATATTAACTGACTGGCCACATGTTTGACATTTATCTGTCTGGAAAATGTTACAAAGCCATTTCTAATGGGCTTCCAGTTAACCGCAGAGAGAAACATTTTCCACTGATGGGGCAAACATGGAACAGATTAACCTTTAAAGGAGTGACTGACTGAAGAAAATTACTCCAATAGTGTTTTGATTACTCATCCAGGAGGCCAAAAAAGAACTAACAACAACATGTAAAGTCTTGCAGGTCTTACATGCCTCAGATAATTCACAATGTACAGTTAAAATAAGACAAAATAATTTACTGAAACCATCAATTCTGATCGTTAGCAGAAAATCCCATAAGGAGAACACCTGGCCAACAGTTTGGGACATTAAACCTCATCATACGAGGGTTATGCAGCAGGACAAAAATCCAAAGCACATCAGTAAGTTAACCTCTGAAACCCAATAAAGGACATGAATTCAAATGATCCACTGCAGTATGATTTGAAACAAGAAATTGATTCCTAAAAACTTCAATATAAGAGAATTAGAAAAACCAGTGGGTCAAAATTCTAGCATAGGAATTTAAAAATTGTATTAATGTATGAGTAAAAGTACAAGTAAGACAAGATTGATTTAGTCATAATATGATCATCCTGGTATTAGAATAGTAGAATAAAATTCAACAGCACGTGTATGAATATTTTGCTGTTTAAACAAAGAGTCAGTCAGTCTTCATAGTTTCACATGTTCTTTATCCTCACATTAGGAATAAAGCCTGGAGGAAGCTGTTTGTTGAGAACTGCATCCCAGTTGACATCAGACATGTAATCCAGATCTTGGAGCTCTGCGAGACACGATATGCGCTTCTGGACATCTATGCACAGCAACTGAAGCAAAGAAAAAGATTTTAGTCAGAACGATCGTGTCCAAGTTGGGATCAAAGTCTCACTGAGACACTGACAGGACGATGCCTTTCGCCTGAAGAATGAGGCAGAGACAGAAAACGGACGGGAAGAAGGCACCCTTCAGAAGTCAGGCAGGCTGGAAGGAGAGGGAGATAGGTTCTAAAACAAGGAGGAACACAAAGAAAGGAAAATTAAATGAAACGCATTCAGGTAGCAAATTATAGCGCAGAGAAAACAGTGGCCTGGAAGATGAAGGACAAATGTATTGAACACAAAATTTTCTTTTCATTCTCACTTTCTCTACTCTCCACTCTTTTCCTTCCCCTTGAACACACACACAAGCAAACTCACACACTTTCACATGCAACAGGAATGCCAATGAACTGAGAGGAGTCTGAGCACGAAGCAATGCAACAGTTAGACTGCAGTGAACTGCTGGCAAGAGAAGATGATCAAACTAGAGAAAATCCTTCAGTTTTACAAATGCATCTCAATGACGAGAACATTTTAGAGATTATGAACATTAAAAGTTATTATTGCTCAGCAGAGTTTGTCCAATCTGTGCAGAACATCTACCCATCTCACAGAGGATACAAGTTCTGATGTTTTCCTCTGTGAAACATCCTGTCTGCTTTATGAATGTCTGTTCCTCATAGCAAACTACTTTTTGAACGGTTTATATGTACTGAAGTATTCACAGCTCTGGAAAAAATGAAGAGACTACTGCACTGAACTGCATTGAAAACCTCATGGTTATTCCATCAAATATTGATTTTTGAACTCTTCTTGAGTTAGAACATTAGTGTTGTTGTTTCTAAATGAATATGACCTTGTTTTATGTGCATCATTTGAGATCTGAAAGCATCAGTGCTTCATGACCAGACAGAAGCACTGGTCATGATTCTGACCATTTCTTATTTTCTGCAAATAAATGCTGCAGTTTTGCTTGGAATTTCAGAGGCATGTTGTAAGTACTTCATTAAATAAAAGAACAATATTCATTTTACTCAAACAATAAGTAACATCTGAGAAACTGATTACTTTAAGTAGTATCTTAATTTTTTTTCCAGAGCTGTATTTGTACATATGTATATGTATTGAAATGAAGTTGTAAATTGTACAATCTGCTTCTGCTTCAGTTTAGAGTTCGTAACCTTTAACTTAGTAATATTTTCCGCATCTTGCTTTACTTTACTCCATACTTTGTAATCAACTGGGTACTTTTGGATACAAGTTAGGCTGAAATGCTCTGTGAACAATCTAATACTGCAAACTATAACCGGCTGACTGAGTCAAACAAGACTCCTCCTATTTTAACCAACTCATGCTAATATTACTCTAATCTGATCTTCATAACCTTGTAGACAGATTGATAGAAATGTACCTTTCTGAGTAGAGACTTCATTTCCAGAGACCAGGCTGCAGGGTAAGTCGGATGGACTTTGTGGAACATTTGTAGAATCTCATTAGATGGTGTGTTGGATCTCATCACATATGGTCTCTGAAATAGCAACAAAGAGTGGAGATGGGAGGAGAAGAGAAGAGATATTCCCCTTGCTCACACCTTTTATGGTCTCATTTTCTGCTCTGATAAAGACAAATGACAGCATTGAGGACAAGGGGAATAAGGGATGAAGTTTTGTCTTTGGATGAAATAAAGTGATTCAAGATGGAGAGGTGGAAAGATAGTGCAAAACAAAATGGATACATTTCGCATTTTTCGGTGTCATAATTTAATACCCCAGGTGTCACGATACCTTTACACATTTACCTGTAACTGAATGCATGACAGTCCTAACATTCCAGTTCCTATTATTCTAACTCACTCTGCAGTTAAAACAGTTCAGGAAGTTGGAAGACATAAAACAAATTGACAAGAATCGATTTGTTCCTCTGCAGAGCTCAGCACATTCCAGCTAATGATCAGGCAAAGGTGAAATAAAGCGAGGCGTTAATGTGGTGCGATGTGAAAGCTTAAGAAAGAGAGTTTAAGTAGAAGTTGTGATAAGATTTAAAGTCTTGTGAAAATAATTACCCTTCATGCCCTGTTTTCTGAAGGATCTTTTTCAAGATGACTCTCTGTGTTCCTAATATGTGCCACATATGTTTTTGCAATGCAAAAAAAGTAAAATGTCTCTTCATAGCCTGTGACATTTTCTCATAGATACCAGAACCTGTAGACTAAAAGTAGCTCATTAGAATTAGTTACATTAACTTCAAGAACTTTTTGGAAAAAAAGGCACTTTAAGAGAAGATTTACCACATCATACTTTTATTTCTGTAGTAATGATAAAGTACTGATACTGTTCCTTGAATAAAATTAGTGTGTAACATTACACACTACTGTGAAATGTTTTTCTTCTGATTCAAGAAGAAAAACGTTTTAACCAAAACTGCAGAGAACAAAACTCAAACTTTATTTTAAAACAAAATTCTTGTTCATGCAAGAAATTTTATCCATGTTAATTAATAAATTAATATTATCATATGTTAATTAATAAATGAATGTAACCTGACGAGGCTGTCGACCCATTTAGAGGTCCAGAAGGTACAGTAAACATTTGTCACTGGAAGCACTTTGTTCTGCTCTAGTTCTTGCAGTCTGTGCAGTGGATCAGACATTTCTGATCAAAGAAAGGAAAATAATGCAATGTCTGTAGTGGAAATAATTTGACAAATAGTTTGGTTAGACTAGGAGAAAAAAAAACACTTCTTTACATCTTCAGGTCAGCTTTGATTGACATTTAAATAGTTGAGAGAGTTCCAGCTTTCTAAATGATATAATAAGTGAAAACTCATTTCTCATCCATGATAGAACATATTTATGCAAATAAGTGTTTTTTATTTCTAAATGATTCACCTCCCTTAACTTTGTGAAATGCTGATTACTGGTCTGTTGAGCACCGCCTTGCAAGACTCATATGCATTACTGACTATAGACAGGCCCAAGGTCACACGGAGGTCAGCGATTTGAGAGCACGTTGTGTTTGTTACCTGTCCTCTCAGCAGTTCATAGGCTGCAATCCCCAGAGACCACCAGTCAACAGAGAAGGAGTAGCCAGGGTGGGATCCTTCGAAGCTCTGGAACAGCTCAGGAGCTGAATAGAACATAACACAAAATATCATCACAACATTCCAGGTTACTTATTATAAGAAAAGAAAGTATTTTGAGACAATTTTTTTATTTATATTGCATTTGGCTTAGCTGAACACTCTGTCAAAAAACAGAAATATTACAGAAATGTTTCAGAATTATGATGGCGTTTAAAGTTTCAGCTTGAAAATGTTGACTGTTGAATATGCATGAGACATTTTGTTCCCTCTTTCGCAACACATTTCTTTATACATGTTCTACTCTGTTTTATTCTGTACTAGAGCACACATGGTGACGCATCAGATTAAAAATACATGCAGAGGCTTCAGGGTCATTGCTGGCCTGTTTGTTCTGGACATAAAATGATGAATTTCATCCTTTTTGACAGGAGTGACGATCAAACAGACTTCAAGTTTTAAATATTTCACACAGCAGACAGCGCAGTCAGGCGGTGACTAATGGTCGGTTATTCGTTTCCTCTAATAGAAGGGAATCATCTATTCTGGGGTAAATTGTGTCCTGCTTGTTCGCCCACACTAACCCCCATGCTTGTTAGGACACTACAGAGGCACTGACTAATACATTTCATTGTGTTAATGCTTTGGTTTTTTTCTCTTTTTTTTTACTTTGAGAGGATTATGTTCACACTAAAGTCTTTTGAAACCACAAATGTTTTTTTATTCTTCCAGTATTTAGCCCCTCCCATTTCCCCATGAACTCTTCCCAGTTCCCTTTCCTGCTAATGAAAGAATCCCAGCAGCACGATGCTGCCACCACATTTTGCCTGCCAGATGGTACAGAAAAAGGGTTTTTGTCCTGTCATGTTTTTGCTACATGGAAATGTGATATTACATATCACTGAAACATTGATCAACTCAAACTGAGATGAGGTTAATTGATTTTAAGATTTCTATGTATATTTTGACCAGAGTTGCCATCGTGCCATGATCTTCCACTTTCAGCTTGTCACACAGGATTCTAATATCCATCTGAGGAACAATCACTCACTTTACAGGATGCCAACTTTTCACATTTACAAAAAAACAAACAAACAAAACAAAAAAGCATCTTTGCTTGGAGCAAACAATCTCAAATCTTCAAAAACAAAAAAAAAAGTTCTACCTCATCATTTATATCCCCCTGACATCCTACTAACTCCCATCTAATCTCACAGAGGGTGAATCCACATCAAAGTGATGTCTGATGCATTTGGGAGTCACAGTGAGGCCAAGCACATCTGTGCCTAAAGGGATAAACTTTTCCTTTTTTTAGAGACAGTAGCGCTTCAAATTATACAAACTTTTCTTTTTATAAGTAACTAATAACTCTAATAACTATCAAATATTTCTTAGTTTCTTCTAGAGTCAATAAAAAAATAAGTACACAAATAAAAAGTACTAATACAATACATGTTTACAAATCTAAAGCAAATTAGTTCTGGTGGAATTTAATGAGCTGCTGAATGAACTGAAATTAAAATCTTCTGTTGAAAGTTATAAAATAAATAACATTTTCTTTTGTTTTTATTTAAGTTATTATTGCCTTACATTAAAATGTAATCTGAAATATTTAAGTAGTATAAAGTAGAAGGAAAAATAAAAGAGGTGAAATTAAGGAGGGAGCAAATATTTTTCATCTCTGGACAAATTTTTTTGTGTCTTTCTCTAAAACAGAAAAGGGAGACTCCTTTTTTACTCCAGCATTCACCTTTGACAAAAGACTGCTCCTCTTTAAACAAATAAAGAAAATAATCTGCTCAATGTTTGAAGTTTTCATGTAAAAAAAATACACTCAATATCACAGATGATTTATAAGCGCATTTATAAATCTTTCTATGATGTCAGAACGTGTCTTTTTATTCACCAACAACAAACAAGTCAAACTGAGTTTCAAACAAAAAGGGGAGGAATCCTCACTTTGGCACTAATTCACAGTGAGTTTGATTCGTCCCAGATCCAATTGGACTTTGAAGACTTGAGAAAAATGTTCGTACCCATGTATGGTTTGGTTCCAGCGATTGATGTTGCCTTCAGGTCTTCTTTTACGATGGCTGCGATGTTGAAGTCCGTCAGATGGACATGGCCTGCAGATGAGACGAATCACATTATTACTTCTACAGTTACTAAAATCAGTGGAGCTTTCAGGCAGGTTTATCCTAAATCATAGATTTGTATTATCAAAGAAGAAGACAACCTGGTCAGAGAAAATAAAATGACTCCTCATTGATTATTCTCTGACTCTAGTAGGGAGGTAGTAGCAACGTCAGTGGTTTTCAAAGTCACAGCATTGACCTGAGTCTTAACATGGTGAGAGAGAAGGCCTAGTCTTCGCCATGCTCACTGATCACACACTAATGAGCTGAATGTGGGATATATGTCTGCATGCGCTACATTTTTTGATACCTTGGGCAGTTAGAGTGCAGCCGTGTATGCAGAGCGGTAATTATTTGGATGAATGGGTGTCCCTCCTGACCCTTTCCACATAAAAAATGTCTTTAGTTGAAAAGAAATACACAAATGAAGCAGACATGAGAAATTAAGTAGAGAAATCCTGTCAGAACCACTTAGCTCACTTTGTCTCTCTCGCTTTAAACTTTTCTTTTGTTGAATGAGACATGCTTATTGCAGAATTATTAAAAAAAAACTAATAGTGCAAACATCCACATAAAACAACACAACGCTGAAGACATTTCTTGAATTTTGCCAGGCAGTTGGTCAACGTGAAACCCAAGGCTGTTATTTTTGATTATTTTCAAGAAGCATTTCTGTTTTACACGTGGAAAGGTAGAATCTGTGGCCGGACTTGAAAACGGCCGTTCGCAGCTGCTCCCTACGCAGCCCGACAGATTGAACGGGTTTTCATGGAAGAATGGAGTACAACTGCCGTGTTCAGATGTGCAGCCTGATGCTGCACGCCATGCTGTGATTTCAGTCAAAGGTCCATCGACAACCAGGAAGGAGTGAATATGGAATCACTCACTGATGCAACCTATCTGTTATTGTCATTCTGTAGAAATACATCTTTACTATGACGTTAGGTTTCATGTGGGTTTTATTTTTTGCTTAAAACAATCAAATATTTTTGATCATGACTGGTTTATAAATCAGTAAAAAGTAAAACATTCAAGGGTATAAGTACTTATTGTAGGCTCAGTAAGTAGCAAAAACTACAAAAAATAAGAGATAAATTTATAATATAAATTAGCAAAAAGTATAATGTAGGTTTGAGACAAAAATGACAAGAAAATGACAATAAAAAGATGACACAATAAAAAAATATATCTAAGTCTTTAATAAAGCACCAGAAGCTTTTGAAATGACATCCATAGTATTTCCCTCCCCAATTGTATGAATATGAATATTATTGGTGATCTATGGATGATAAGCTCGTCGTAGATCGCAGCAATTAGAACTTAAAACTTTAAGGACTCAATTGGGAATTGATATAGTTCTTCATGTCTCCCGTTGTTTGTTTGGGGTGGAGAAATGATCTGCTGCTTACGTCACCACATCCTCATCATGGACTGCGTCTGTTTTTGTAGGAAACATGAACAGCAGCTCACAGTGGATAACCTAGACAACAGCACCCCGGGTCCTCATCCCTGCATCCCTGGGCTATGTTGCTTAACAAAGCACCATCACTTGGGCATGAGTAAATTGTTTTTCCCCTATATGAAGCAGCTCCCTGGGGAATAAAAGGATCACAGGTCAATTTGTGCTTTCAAATTTCCCCATGTGGAGAGGAAAACAGCTCACTTCCCCCTCTGTCGGCTCCTGTTGTTTGTTAGAGTTCAGTGAGGAGGCAAACCCCAGCTCTGCGTTAAAAAAGCGTTGATGCTGGAGTGCATAAATAGATAAAAGTGCACTGAGTTTGTAAGAGCATACACAGACAAAGAGAAGTGATTACAGGTGAGCATTTGTTGTTCTGCTGAATCAATCTGACTAAATCTGATAAAACTGTCTCTTTTCCCTCCTAATCTTCTCATATCTCTATATGTTTGTCCTTTCTTTGACAAATCCTTTCAGAAATGTTTGCTCATCATCACTTTTCCTCTTCTTGTTGAGTGGCCCATCTCGCCTCCCTCTCAGCTCCCTGTCTTTCTTTGTTTCTCTCCAGTTTGCCTCTTTTCCATTTTGACAGCAGGACCTTGATCCTACATGTCCCCTAAGCTCCCTGAGCAGATGTCCACTCCCCCCTGAGATCTCAGGACTTCTGTCTCTGTCCAAGTGCTCATATGTCACACTGCTACATTTCCTGGCCAGTGTTCAGGCTGTTAGTTTTGACATTTTTATTCCTTGTGGACTGCTTTAAAAATTCAAAGAAATACAAAACTTGCATAATTTTTCTTTGAGGCTTGAGATAACAAGATGCTTATACAAAATGTCTAAACTTCCTCCCATTATAGTGTAATAATGCTGAGTAATTCAACTGTAAAATCATGAAAATATAAAAGTTGAGAAATATGCATTAAATGTTTACATCAGTCATGTAACACTTTCTTGTTTAGCCTTTTGATTAAAATTCAGCAGTCATTCTCCTTTGGTAGGAGTGTGTGAGCATCTCGTGACCTGGCAATATTAACCACTGCAGCTTGCAAACACTTATCAAATCTAAGCTCTTTTGTCCAAATTTCTTGCTCATTTGGTTGTTTTAAACCAGGTGCAGATGTTTTCTTTAAAGAAAATAATTCCATCGTGCAAACCTACGCCTTACTACCAACATATGGCGGATACAGCAGACTGTTGTTGCAATTAGAACATAACCAATAACTGCTTATAAAATTTCAATAAATTTTAAAATTTATTGAATCTAAACTGGTCAATTGACCAGTTTAGATTTCATCTTTTCATTGTATTTAATGAATATCCAGTTTTTGTGCTTCTTTGTTGTTTCAAATATTTTACAATTATTGCCTTATATAAGTATTACATTACATGTCTTAACTGTGCCATGAGTCTAACATGATGTGGTGGAACTTTATGCTTAAAAACATGTTTTCCATTTGAAAACCAAAAAGAAAAAGTAATTTTCCATTTATACTGCTATGACACACATCTGCAATTTCATTGTATTATTCACTTGATGAAGGCATTTTATCTCATCTTCAACGCTTCTTTCCAAACTACATAAATAAATCGACATAGTGTACCACAACTTAAAAGGTTTGTGTTTGACCTGCGAGCCGTAACTGGAACTGCTTTATATTCCTCTTCATTAGCATATTGATGAAAGATTTTATAGTCTATTTTAACACACCTTTGATTTACTATTGTTCCGTTCAACATTTTTTACACACACACACGCCCGCCCGCCACCCACACCCCCACACACACACACACCACACACACACAGACACACAGACACACCCATGCACACACACATTCACTTCTGTTTGTGCCTCTTTCTCCCAGTATAACTAAAACCTGAGTGAAACAGACATGTTTGGGGTAAAAGATGATTTAATAAAGCATCTCACCGTGCTCATCCAGAAGTATGTTGTCAGGTTTGATGTCTCTGAAATGAAAAACACAAAATGCCATGAGGTTAGAATGTATCGGCATCAAAATGGGTTTTAGATCCAACTATAAAAGCAACTGTTGACTTTTGAGGTTAGTAAAACACAATTAGCTGAGTTGAAGAACAAAGTGAGCATATTAGTTTTATTTGTCTTTGTGTTTTTGGTCAGAATTAAAGATTGTCCAACACAGGCGTCTGGCAATATATATAGATATGTATATATCTATCCACGTGTAAAGAAACTGTTGAATCAAAAAAAAAAAAATCCCTAACAATTGTGAAATTATTAGTGGCATTGGCTTTTTTCACTTCATAATAAGATTTGAAAATATAGAATGGGGAACAACATAACCCTCATTATTTGTTCTCATGTTCAGTTAATTTAAAACTTAGAATTTCTATCAACACATTTACAAATGTAAGTGAAATTTATATTTTACTTACATAAAAATAGCAATTTTTATGTAAAAAAAAAAGTTTTCTTTTTTTACATAAAAGATATGACAGCAACATCAAAGTTGCTGTTGTGATAGTAGCAAACAGTAACGCTGATGGATTATTGGGTGATATGAGACTAATTATATATTTGTATATTTTATTTTTATGTAATTTGCATAGATTGTGTTTCTAAAACTTTTATTTCCAGGTTGCCATTACTGAAGTATTTCTGAATTTAATTAATCAATAAATGCCTCTAAAATAAACCTGGAAAGCACTAAAGTTTTCACTAAATGAGTGAGAAAGATGATTTTATGGAGCAATAACTTCATTTTATTTCTTAATTTAAACAAATTTCATATTTACAAGCATCACAAACAAACAACGAGAAAAAAAAAGACCCTGGATGTGCAGAATCTCAAATGTTCACTTCCTTTCCAGGAGTTGAATATTTGGAGTTAGTTGAGTCATTATTGCATTAAAGTAGAAAATGGACACATAATAAATCAAACTGAAGATGTATTATAACAGTGTTCTCCAGGTGTGTGGTGAAAACAAATGAAAATGTGATAAATGACATTAGGGAGAGAGAATAGAACTGCAGGCCTGGTTGTAACACTGAAACACCAAAAAACAAGATGTCACATCTGCTGGATTGTCTCACAAAAACCTCAGAGAGCAAATAATGAGAGGAACAGGAGAAAATAACTTCAATATATTTGAACTTTTCCAAAACTTTTTTCAAGAGTGAAAGTTGAAACCGCAGAGATAGATTTTATTCATGCACCTAAAATCTGCAGACTGATGCATTCTGATAAAATGCTTCTCTGCAGTGTAGTGTTTTTTATTTGGCTTCAGGCAAAAACTGAATGAGGAGAAGCAGAGTATACTGTGTACTCTGCTTCTCCTCCAAGCATTAAAAAAGAAAAATTCAGAGATGTTCTTAAACTGTTTGTACTTTATTGCAATTGGAATTACATTCATGATTTTGTAATTCCAATAAAACCAAATTTTCATACTTGCAATCTCTGCACTAGCATTCCATCAACTTTAATCCTCTGCTCCAGAGGAATGTAGCGGTATTTAGCATATCAAAGGCAACAGAAAAAAGAAAAAAAAACACCTGTGTGTGCATCTTTGTGTTTCTGTGGTACACTCCTGCAGAGAAGGACAACCTGCAGCATGAAGCCAGACTCTGGGATGCTGAGGCACATCGACTGAAATGGGCCCAAGTGGGGTTGAAAAAGGTCAACCATGTAACCCTTAATTAACTGACATTTGCCTTAATGAATGGCAGTAAGGGAACGAAGGGAGGGGAAGTGTCGTTGCTAAAAAAGCAAGCTGTGAGGAAAACAAGGATGGCTCTTTCACTGCTAAAGGCCAAACTGTCATGGCAGAGCTGCAGGGGCCAGAAAGGCCCAGGACACCAAACAGTCAAATAAACCAAGCCAGTTTTTTAACATGATCGTTTCTTCCTAAAATGGTTTCTCTAAATTCTCCCTAGGTTTGTGTGTGTGTGTGTGTGTGTTTAACTCTAACTTAACTAGGACAATTTCTCAGCTTTACTATATTTTCATCCATCCCTACTAAAGAAACTTATTGTTTTATATTTCCCTGATATTGCTATGAGGATATTTTCTCTGTCTTTCCACTTACAATTATGTACTACTTTGAACTGGTTCGTCAAATAATATTCCAATATAGTGAATTTTGTGTTCTTCACAAAATCTGAAACTGTTCAAAGATCTATTTATAAATGCAACCTTATTCTTTGTTTTGCTACATAAGTAGCAATTCTGCAACTATGATTAAAGGGAGTAAGAAATGGAGATAATTTAAATACTTAGCTTCTCAAGGCATGGCTCTTTATAGCATTACCATAAATATAATAAATATTTCATAAGCCTTGGAGAATCTTAAGTCTCTACAAACAATCAGAATCAATTATCCTGGTTCCTCTGTTGCAATCAATTTAAATGTAGATATAAAAATCTAAAATATAATGTATGTAAGCAAACTTTTGCAACAAAGAATTACTCTTCATTCTTCATCTCAACGGTATAAAAAAAACAAAACAAAAGAAGATTGAAGTAAGAAACTAGCAGCTGTTAGTTTCCCCCAGCAGTTTGTGATGTGTTGGTATCCTGGGATAATTGAAGTGCAGCATCTTTTGGTTCTGAGGAACAGATGGGTCTGCAGCAGCTCCGGTCACAGCAGGGTTATGTGAAGAATGGATTGCTAGATGAGGTAAAACCTCCACCATCTGCAGCAATTAAAACTGTGACTAAGAATATTTCAGGGGTGAACAAGAGCATTATGACAGTGACATTCACAAGGATCCACATGATCATTTAGATGAATTAAAGAAGCCAAAGGAAGAGAAACGTTTAGCGCTTTGTAAATTTATGTGGAACCTTGACATGGACAATTTGCATGTTCTATCAACAAAGTGGGACAGAAGATAAGAGTTTTAAAGTTTAAACCAAAAAAGAATATTTCTTGGTCCTGACATTCGAGTGTGGCATAGAAAAGCTCTGATATACCATACTTGCTAAAATGTTATTCCTTTTAAAAGTCCACAACAAAGGGCCAGGTTTACTCAGTGCAAGCTGATCGCTTTGGCTTTTCTTTTGGTTGACTGGCCTTACAAGCTATTAGCAGGATCTAATGACCTCATTACAGCCTCCTAGAGAGGACAGAGGGTAAGCTAATCCGCTACCTGGTCATATGATGCGGAACTGTCACTGGAGCTGGACAACGCACCTGAGAGTTGAGCCTTTTATACGCTCACATACACAAGTCCTGGAACAGCAAAGCTGTTTTCTCAAATCAAATACTGATATCAGCAGTTGGTCCTGAACGAGGACAGCCACTTATTCAGGCCATTAACTAACAAAATATATGGATTCATTACATTGTTTCTTGTACTGCTGTAAAACTTATCAAATCTATTTTCCTGTTAGATTGCAACATTTTTTACAAAATGATTTTTGAATGTTTATCACTTTTTGACTTTGTTAATTTAGCAGAGAGGAGAGTAAAGGGTTAACTGGTCTAACTGACCAGCAACTGGACAACATCACGCTCTCAAAACTAATCCAGGGCCATCCGATGTGTGAAAAGCCTCCTGGAAGTGCAGCTTTTACTGTGACAGCATAATCTCACATCTTAAGTGTATTTAAAAATTATTAATTCTAGTAATTTGTAGTTATTAATCTATTACCTGTTACCTGTTACCATGGGGAGAAAACAGATGAATTAAATGATGAATTATTATCTATTACTGAAAGAACGTGCAAGAAGGAATGGGTGTGGATAAGGTTCATGTTATATTTTATTGTATTTGTTCAATTATGTCATTTTTGGCCCCAAAAGTAGAAGTTAACACTGCAGATCAGTTGAAGAGTTTTACATATCTTTGCCATCAGGTGACACTGAGGCAGGAAACCACAGCTATCTGTGTAACATGCAGCCCATGCAGAGAAATATGTCGTGCACTCAGAGATGTGCATGTTGTCTGAATCATTCTGCTCTGAGAGCTGACGCCCACCAGCCACTTAGGGGCCAGTCAGGCAGCAGCTTTCTTTGAACTGAACGCTCCACTCCACAGACAGGGACTAACTGGTCCAGTCCAATAAACTGCTGCATTTTTAACTACATCTCATCTGCTGAGGGAAAGTAGCTGTGAGAAGTTGGAGATTGGAACTGATGTGCATGAACATGCCATTTTGCACATCACTGAGGATACATTTATGCATATAAAACTCTCTTTGCTTATCCTTTATTCATTAACAAACACAGAGTGTAGCTGCAGACTATAGCTTCCCAGCAAAGTTGAGCTTGACAGGTTGACGGTTTAAAACAGCACTGGAGGTGAAGCTTGCCAGGCAGACAGTGAACGCAGCCACAGCAAACTAAAAAGTTCAGGCCAAAACTCATCGCAATTATAAGCGATGAATAATTCAGGTAGTCAGAAACATTCAGTGTTCTGGCTGTCATCTCTTCCGTTTCTTCCTGGCTCTCTGAGTCTCTACCTTTTCCTTTTTCTCTTTCTATCATGTAGCTCTGTGTGATATTCTGAATGCACTGCTGTCTCCAAAAATTCTCCTTTTTTCTTTTCTGGTATGAGCAGGCACGCGGAAAAAATACAAAAGCATGCAATTAGTGATCTTTCTGGAGCAGGCTCACTCTTCCAACAGTCCATCATGTTCGGGACACTTTACTCCTCCCATTATTTAATCTGTTGTTGTGTGATGGGCTGAGCCAGAGGAGATTTTCGACAATGATAATGCTCAATTCACCATTTCTGAGGTGGAAATTGGAGAGCTTGCACCAGCTGGCATCTTAATCTGCATTTATGAAAGAGGTGAATAGAATTTCTCCCTCACATTTTATCCCACTGCCTCTCTCTCTCTGTTCTATCCGGGTTTTCTTTTCTGCTGCTGCTGTGAAATAAAACATTTACGTACTCCATGAATAAAGAAATCTCTGCTGAAGACGTGACAAATTCTCCTCAGTCAGGGCAGCTGATGGAAAATAAGAGCGATGACTTTCCACCATTCAATCTGCAAATGTGATCTGTTCTCCAAATGAACAATTTGTGAGAAGAGCCAGATCCAGTTGTTCTCACCTAATCAAACAGAAAATTATAAACTTTTTGTCAGCTACAGAAAGGGCTTTGGAGAACAAAAGAGTAAATAAATGATTGAAAAAATAAGCTACCTTGAAGAACAGTTAACTGCACATGTAACACTAAAATAGGGGGAACAAAAGAAGAAAAAGCAACAGCAGTCATTACAATTAAATAGACAATGAAAGGAGATGTGAATAATTTAACTGTGTGTTTGCGTGTGTGTGTTTTGAGAGTTAGAGAAACATGAAGAGTGCAGCTTAAGTGGGTGAAGTCGACATGATGCATCAACAGTAAAGTTCAGTTAATTTAAAATACATTAAAACGATCACACACACACACACACACCGCCCCACACACACACACACACACACACACCACCCCACACACACACCACACTCCCTACTCCCGCCCACACACACACACACACACACGTCCCCCCCACACACACACCGCCCCCCACACACCCACACACACACCGCCCCCCCCCCCCACACACACACACACACACACACACACACACACACTTCATCACCACCTCCATTTTGTACCCATAACAAAGCATATTGGTTTGTTTCTGTTGCTGGTACTGATACATTCAGGTGATATATATATATATATATATTACAAGAAAACCTATGACTCAATGCTGCATACTTGGATCATTGAATGCCTAGAGATGTATAACATCAACAGGATTCTGAGAGCCTTCATTGCAAACTCGATGAGGCTGTGGAAAACCACCCTTGAAGCCAACTGCAAACCAGTATTTTTATTGCCAGTAAATCCCCAGGTTGGTTGTAACAGATAGCTTCTCACACTGATCCCGCTTCTGGAGATTTCCTTCTGTTAAAAGGGAAACTTTCCTTTCCACCATCGCCACATGCAGAAACCAACATCCCTAAAGTGTGCAGTGATTCCTAAATGAGCTGGAGCTCCATACTGACTTGTAAAACGTATCTGCAAACTGACAATATCCAAGTCTTTCCATTACAAGGATTCCATGAGGCACCAACAAGCTCCTGAGAATTTACCCATAGATAATCATTGTTGATGTAAAAGAGGCACTCAACCAATGAAATACGAAGCACACACACACACTTCCCCTTGCACACACTCTTTCCATTTGTTCTTCTCTTTGTTTGGAAAGACTTTTTATGTCTCTGAAGATGTTGTCTAATTGAGACTCAGTCCATCGTTAATAATTCAAACCCCCCACAGAACGTTGTGTTAAAACATTTGACGCAAACCAGAAAAATTAAATTTATCTGAAAGCAAAAGAGTACTTTTGCATTTCTTTAATATACTAGATATTCTGTCCCAATAAGAACTTAGTAACAACATTACTATGTTGCCAAACCCCATGCGACTTACTGGCGGGTCATCATCATCATCATCATCATCATCATCATCATCATCATCATCATCATCATCACACTCATAATTATGAAAATCCAGTCCACCCACCAAACTGCATCAAAAAGGGAATGTGTACATCCAGGAGTAGCATGGAAAGAAACAGATCCTGAAGACATCCATCTTTCACTTGCCACACCAAACTCCTCCAATCTGGAACTTATTCATTCAATTTCCATAGAGATGAGCTGTGAATTACTTTCCACTGCTCTTCCAATCTGAAGCTAATGAATGCAGATGGAAAAGATGTTGATGCCATCTAAACAAACAACATCCAGCACCTGCACATCAAGCTGAAAGTCTGTCCTCTCCTGGACTGAAATAGAAAACACAATTTAAATATTCATATTTCTCAGAGGAGTGCATGAATAACCAAATTATTAATCTGTCCTATTTATTTCCCTTTCTCCATTCTACTGTGGAGGGTTAAGACAGGAGCAAGCAGCCTGCTTAACGTTAAGTGGTGTAATTTGTTATCTGTGGGTGTTGATAAATTAGTGTTCCCTGTTGTAGTGATGCTTCCTATTAGTCATGATCTGAGAAAGCTTTTATTTCTCTTTGCTCAGTCACTGGAGAGGAAGAATGAATCTACAAGGCCAGTTCACAAATCAGACATTTTTTTTATTTACAGTGTTTGCTGGACATTATTCAAGGACAACAGATTTCAGTTTTATCTAAAGTAATTTAAAATCAAGAAAAGAAACAATTAGTGAATCATCCCTGCTTCACGGTCATGGAGCTAAATTATATTGAATAGATTCTGCTGTGGTAACTTTAATTTCCAGTTAATCCACTGTTTAAATGGAGTAGAGCACTCTATTAACGTCTGCCCCATTCATTTGTGCTGTCTTAATGCTCACCAAGGATCATTCCAGTAAACATTGTCATTAAAAAGATCTGTATGAAACAAGCATAGCTGGATTTCTCAACACCTTTGTGACAAACTTATCACAGAAAGGTTGTATTTTCTTATAAAAATATTTTACAAATATGACATGGAGGTCACCTTTCTGGAACTGGTTACGATAATGGTAATAGTCATTAAAGTTTAAATATTTTTCTTCAGCGCCAACATCATCCATTTACCAATTTATCTCACTGGCAATTTTCACTTAAAACTGGAGCGAAAGCAGTAGGAGAATCACTGGCTGTGGCTGCAAAGTGTTCATAAGATAGAAACAAAGAGCCGTTGTGTTGAAAGGTTTTCAACATTGCACCATTATTGTATTTTATATGCCTCTGCAGTGACATCATATTGCAATGTTTTTGAAACACTTCAACAACCTAAGATAATAACATTTGGCAGGAACAGGCTTCACTTGGCTTTGCAAGTCTGTTACTTTGCCATGGCAGCAAATATTTTGCCTGAACAGCACTTAAAATGCATCTTACAAATTAAAAGGAGCATTAACCTATCAGCATCTGCTGAACTAGTAGATTTCACAATAATAATGGTGTTTGGATCAAGACAAAGTAAGTTTTGAGCTTGATTCTAAAGCATCTGCACAGAGGCAGATTTATTTCAAAATCTGATCGGATCAGACATCTAAAGAAAAATATCCTAAATCCATCTTACCTGTGTATGATGCGCTTGCTCCGAAGGTAACCCAGAGCCAAGGCCAGCTCACAGATGTACAGCTTGACTGTGCTTTCCGAAAAGTGGACGTTCTGCTGGAGGTGATACCGCAAATCTCCCCCCAGGAGCAGATCCACCACCATAAACATGTCCTCTTCATCCTGAAACGAATACCTGCATTGGAACAAAGCATAGGTCAAACATGACAAGATCACATAGTGACAAGCAAAAAATATGTAAAACAGATGGTAAGGGGGAAAAACACAGTAGATTAATGTACAGAAACAATATCAATACATCTAAGTAAATTAGAATATCCTGAAAGATTTCACTTTTTCCAGTGACTTAATTCAAAAACTGAAACTTGTATGTTATATGACTTATTTCTCATATTCATAAGGAAAGACAAAAATTCAGAAAATGTAAATATTTCATAAGATGAAAAAATAAATACATTTTAACACAGATCTTGCGTTATCTCCCACACAATCATGGGAAAGACTGCTGACATCACTGACACTCCCAACCAGAAGGGTAAGCCAAGGCAGCTCATTGCTGGTGAAATGGGCTTTTCACAGAGTGGAAAGTTATGTGGAAGTAAAAAGTGTGATAGAAAAAGGTGCACAACAAACAGGGAGTGGACTGAGGCTGCAGTCACAAACAGCCACAACAGTGTTGGTATTTTGACCTGTTCAAGTATATTCACATTATTCAGATGAATCTGTATTCCACATTTCATAACTGAGTACATCCTTCCACTTTGCAGAAAGTTATCTTTAGTTCAAGAATCCTGCAAGGTTTTCTTCCAGAGGAAAACTAGTTTTATGTCATCCTGAGCTACTGAATCAAATCAGCCAATAAAACCGAACACGAATGATTTGACAAACGGTTGAGTTTACCGACCCTATAACCTGTAAAACCACAAAATCAGACTTCAGTGTGGATCATGGGAATAGCTCTAAAAGCTTTTGTAAGAACATTATGTATATATATTTACATATAACAAGCCAACAAAGACTTAAATAGCTTAGAAATTTAGAGATAGATCCAAATATTATAAAGTATATCTCTGACAATCTAATAGGAGACACAGGAGCTCTCTTTCTCTTCTCTAATCCTAATGGTTTAACCTTATTTGAAGGCCACCGTTTATCCTTAAAAATCTGCCGTTTTATGTCAGGATTAAAATATTCAAATTTTATGGTAATTCAAAGCAACATCACCACTTTCTTTCTAAATTGGAAGCAATCATCTTTGTGTTTCTCGAGTTTTAAAAGTCAAATGAGGAAAGGGTGAAAAACACAAAAACAATCTCTTTTGTGATCACATCTGTGATCAAAAGATTATCTTTTATTCTGTTGAATTGCACAAAGTGTGTTTTTTAGCCAGTGTGTGAAATGTAATTGGTCAGAAGGATTTTGTGAATAGCAACATTTCTATTCAGATCAACCACATTTTTTACAAGCCCAATTCCAATGACGTTTGGACTTTGTGAACAACTTAAATAAAAAGAGAATACAAGGATTTGCAAGTCATTATTATATATTAAATTAAATAACTACAAAGACAAGGTTTTCAATGTTCAAGTGGCTAAACTTCAGTTTTACAAATATTCAAAAGGTTTACATCACCTTTCCTCTAAAGGTCAGTCAACAAGACTTCAGGAACGAGTTACCATGATGGCAAAAAAAAAAAAAAAAAAAAAACTGTAGAAATTGAGAAACCAATAGTGCACCAAAAAAAAAAACCCTAAACAAAACCAAAAACATGAAATGTACTGCAACCCCTTGCAGATTCATCAATATATCCACTGAATTCAGTCCACAGAGGTTAAGGTTGGCAAAGAACCATCATCTTGGCTCAAACTCATGACTCGGTAACCAAGGATGAGTTTTTTTTGCCACGTTGGTAAACACCCCTCCCTCTGGGAGATTTGCAAATAACGTGTATGTGGTTCTTTTTCTGCACTGGATGGATGGATGGGAATTGATTGAGCTGACTCCAAACTGTCTGCTAAGGCTCAGATAATGCTGAGGCCACGTAACATTTGATTGCCGTTGGCCTCTGAACGTGGAAAGACTATCTGCGAGATGCCTTCTGAGAGGAAGCACACACATTTAACAAAGAGCCTTCAGAGCGCACGCACACACACGCCTGCAGCATTCTGAGTCTTCCCTTCAATTTGTGTAAATCAAACATCATGATGCATTGATGCATCATGAGATTTTTAACTATTGTTCCTGCAGCTGTATTTACAACAGATCCCATTTAAATACTTTCTGGAAAAAAAACACTTTTTTGCAGAATCACCATTAAATCAGACATAACCTTATAGACTTTTATTGATTTAATGCAATTTCCTAATCTTAAATGTCACGTTTTAAGACTACTGTCATCATTAATTGTCATGTGTGTTGGTGATGGACCCAAATGCAGCAGGCCGAAGTTGATTTTGAAGATACGTCTAACAAAAAATAAAAAACCATAAACTTAAAAAAAAACAAAAAAAAAAACATGGAATACACAGGGAGCCAGCACAGAACAAAATTAACAGCAACCACAGAGAGAAAATGGGATAAGACATGATTTAACAGGAGGAATCAGCAAGGAGTGACTGAGAAAGAGGTGCTTAAGTACTGAGAGGTTGAATGCTGACCTGGGCTGATGAGCTAATGGGCAGCAGGTGTGAGGCACAGATTTACAGACCAAATGTTTGTTTCAGTTCTTTATTTCAGTTGTATTTTGACATTTAATTGAACATTTTTGCAGCCAGGGGGAATGGACATCCTTCCTCTAGAGGGAGAAGGTAGGTAATAATCTGTTTCTTAGAAATTATTTTGATTCAGTTTGAGTTCAACAATCATGTAAATGAGTGCTTACCTTTCCTGGTATGTCTCCTCAGCAGGGTGGAGCAGCAAAGGGAGACAAATGCTCCAGGTGCTGCTGAAAAGCTCCAGGAGCGTACCATGTCAGTGAAGTTAAGTTAATTTTATTTTTTGATTGACCTTAGATTAGTTGAAATTATTTGTACCTATGTAAATAGTTATTGGTACCATTTCTTTTTTTTGGTTTTAAGTTTGTGTAAATAATGTTTATTCATTGTTATATTGATTACCCCTCTTCTTGGCATGTTTGGTGATATTGCTCAGGCTATAAAAGCCAGTTTCTTTGTGTAACGGTGTTGGTTCAAATGTGATCTGGAGTTCTTTAATGAATCCACTTCAACTGCATTTTGTTGTCATTCCTCCTTTTACATGTTGAGCCTCCACTAATCAAACTGACAAGTATATTTAACTGAATTAAGTTATTAAAATGAACCAACCTTTTTACAAATATTCAAATTTATTAAATGGATCTTTTCAAGCTGAATCATCCAAAAAGTTTTTTAATGGCTGGGGGAAAAAAACATGCACAACTTGATACCGGACTTACTATGTACATAATATCTGCAGATTGAATTTGGGGAAAATACACAATAAATTTCAACTTTGCACTCAATTACAGATTATAAAACTAGTTAATTCTCTTGAATAGCATGAACAAATATCAGGACCAACATTCACTGCTTCTCAGCAACACTGTAATTGCTCTGTGAGTCGACCTGCATTGCATAATTTTCCCTTAGAAATTTCATTGAGTACAACAGTGTGAAAGACAAAGCTTCAAACTGGAGACCAGGATAACAAAAAAGCCTTTTGGTTCACTAAAGCATGAGCTACACTACAGTTTGTGTTTATTGGACAGGAGCTGTTTTGCTCTGTCGATTAATCTTTTGTCGATTAATCTTTTGATAAACTGTCTTCCTCTTTCTCCTCTGTTTTTAGTGAGACCCTTATTCTCTTTTTTTTCTTCATCCTACCTCTGCATCACACACACACGTCTACACACTCACAGTAAATACCTCCAACCAGCAGAAGTGGCTACAGCTGAGAAACAGCCCAAGAGGCTGCTGTCACAAGTGTTTAGGAGACACAAACTGGACTTTGCTTGTTCATTTTCTTGGCTTCTTTCAGGAAAACAGCTGCAGTGTATCAAGTTAAAATGTGATTCAAGTTTTTTTCTCTTATATAAATAGATGGTAGCTTAGTCATAGCATTTGCAACTAAGTGATTCTTTATTCGCCCTACGACAGACTGGCGACCTGTCCAGGGTGACCCCGCCTCTCGCCCAAAACGTTCGCTGGAGGAAGGACCAGCGATTGCCCAATATCTCAGGTATAGATCTGTTAAACTGTTTAACGTTAAATAGGTTATTATTTTTTATGCATTTTAATATTAAACTTGGTTTCCCTTAACTGTGGTTAAGATCTGTATTTGGATCAATCCACTTTCTGAGGATTGATCAGAATGAATGAAAAGGATCACTATTCATTCATCCTGCTGAATAACTAAAACCATCACATCTCCTTCCTGCAGAGAGCCGTCAGGTATTACCGACAAAAAATCCCCAGGTGGCTGCGACAGATAGCTTCTCACAATGATCCGGCTTCTGGAGGTTTCCTTCCGTTAAAAAGGAAACGGTGGCGATGGTGGACATCGTCACAATTATGTCAGAGTGTAAAAAACTATTTTTCATAGTTCTACCGCTTGACCACTATCTGAGTATTTAAAACAATATTTAACATTCAAATAGCCAAGTTGACACTGGTCACAGATGTTGATGGCCATAATAATCTGTGACCTTACTGTACAGACCTGTAAATTATAGAAAATGAATGGATTATTATAGTTACATAATAAATTATGAAACTATTTATGTTGTGAAAAATGCTTAGCTGATGATAAGATTCCAATCAGTTTGAAACTGGATCTTTTAAATGGACTTGAATCAGCATAAAATTAAACTGACACCAATAATCTTTCTTCATGTCACAAAGTTTGCAGTTTTTCAGACTCTCAAGTATTTCATTTAAAAATAACACATTCTCCTCTGAACTGTCATGTTCCTCTGAGCGGAGGCTTTGATCGGTTATCAATTACAAAACACCTGAAGTCAAAAAGCTATTTAAGAACTTTTTTCAATCTGTGTTATGGGACGTGCTGGCATTGGAAATGTAAACAGTCTTATGGAAATATTAAAATCAAGATGAATGAATTCATTTTCTAAGAAAATGGAAACAGATACTCTTGTTGACAACTAGAAATACATTTGCTAATTTCTAGGATAAGGACTGTTATTAATTCTCAACTTTAAATTATTCAGTGTTTCTTTTAAATTACAGTGATTTCTCTTTCACAGACAGATGGTGTGATTTCACCTTTCCTTCTCATAATTTATGACCACTGGTGACAGAAAGGCTAGAATAACATTTTGAATACGGATCCACTGGAATTGTTAGAAATATAAGCTAAATCAGTATCAACACATGAGAGCTTAAAAAAACTGAAATGTGAAATGGGCCATAAATCTCTGATTAGTGCACCTCTTGTTTAATCTTTTTTTTTATGCAACAATAAAAAAATACAAATATACATCGGTGATTCAACTACGTAATTTTGTTTTGTTTCACCACTTAGTGGCCCACTTTACGGAGGAATCTTGATGCTTTCATCTCATCGTATGTTATGTTATATGTCAAATTTGTATTTTGCTGGTATTACAGCCAAATGAAACTATAAATATCTCATTTGACAGCCAAGAGCAGCTGTTGCTTGATTCTTGAAACAACTTTTCGCGCAGAGAACAGAGAGCAGCAGCTATGCTTCAGATTAGCGTCTGTACATTAAATTGAAGTGCTGCAGACGTTTCATTAGCCCTCCTGGCACTGAGCCTGGTCGCTTCATACTGTACGGGTTTGCTTGCATCATTTCACAGCCTCTTCCTGATCCACTATGTGCCAATACACTCTTCAGCTAATATTTTTTCGCTGTCTCTGCTCTGCCACGCATGCATTTCAACGTGACCTCTTGGTGGCCTACAGGCACTCAGTCTTATGGGAGCGAATCCTGCATGGAGCTGTTAGAGACAGTGGTGCCCCACGGCAACTCTAGTAATGGACATCTCAAGAAACCACAGGGGCTCAAGAGTTAATGGGAACATGTCCTTATAAAAGGCGCCACCGTCCCTTCTGTCAGAGGTAACACTTCTGTCTTTTAATGTTACAGAGATGACAGAAATAATAACTTCAGGCTGAATTTGACTTGCACTGCTATGAATAATTGGCTCCCTTAAAATGTTCTTCAGTTTGTGCTTTTTTTGTTGCCCTTACATGTTTCAGAACATTATTTCTTACCAGACTAAGAAATCAGCAGAAAATACATAATAGAGTTTAAATTTATAATGTTATTTAATTAGATGATCTGTCTATAACTGACAGACCTTATATTAAACCATAAAATCATGCATTTCCTGTGATTAACCACATTTTATGGAAATTACATTTTAATTTCATAAGCCACACCCACCAAGTAGCGTAAATAATCTCAAATGCAATATATCATGATCCAATCAATAACCAAAGAAATACAAGACCAGGTGAAAATCTACAATAAGTCATTGATGTCTAAGTGTGTCACAAATTCATTTGTAAGACTTTGAGACTCCTGTGAACAACTGTGAGAGTCAGAATCTCCAAACAGAGCGAACATGAAAGTCTGGAGAACCTTCCAGAAGCGGCTGGTCTACTAGTTCCAAGAACACATTAGAGACGCAACCAGGAAGTCATCAAAAGAAGCAGAACATCTGAAGCACCACAGTTCTCCACAGAACATTCATCTATAGCCACAATAAACTATTGAATGACGGTTGCTGCCACCTGTTACCATTTGATATTTAAGGATAAACCCTGAATAAATGAAATCATCAAAAGAAAACAATTTTGAATTCACGTTTAGTTCTAAGTAGTTTGATGATCAGAAGCACATAGATCGTACAAAAAAAGCAAAGACAGAAGAAAGCTGAATGTAAAAAATACTTCTTTCTGCACTGAACGTTAATTACCTAATTTATCTTCATTTTTATACATAGTCTTTAGCAACGTCTAGAAATGAGAATAATTAAATATAGTTTTACAATTACAGTCATTAGACATTAATACCACAGCGCCTAGCTGAGATGGATTCAAGAAGCCAACCCGGCACAATAGCGACAAGCCTCCAACCTTCCTCCCACCGTTTCTCCTCACACCTCCCCTGACTGACAGCTCCCATCAGTCTGTGTCCAATGTTTCCTGAGCACAGGGACAGAGGTGTAGCTGTATGCAGAATCACATTCACCTATATCCCTTACAAACAACCAAATTGGCCCAAGTTTTGAAAAACTAGTGAATATATTCTGTATTCTGAATCAATACATTTTTATGTTTCATTTCAGAAAGTAAGGCCTGGTTTTACTCCAACTTCAGTCACAATTTGGCAGTGAGAGTACTTGATTATGATATTTACTTTGGCTAGACTGGATTGGGTGATCTTGCATTTCACCAGGTCACCTTCACATCAAGCCAAAAAAACAACGAGCTGGCAAACTACTTTCAAGCTTTCGCCAAATTCTGCAGCACTAAAAGTAAAAGGAGACATTATGTTTGCTGGCAGTACTTGTGACACTAAAGTCTGAAGTCAGGCTTATCTTTACTTATTGTATTCTATACAGTCAAAATCTGTACTGACTGCATAATACCTGTCTGCTTTACTAAACCTGTATGTCTTGATGAATAAGTGTTTCTTTGTCTTTATCTGGTGAAATAGCTGCATGGTTTCAAAGAACATGACTGAATAAGGTACCACTCCAAAAGATATTTTTTTCTCCACGTATGATGCACTGGCATGAAGTGCAGTTTTTACTGTGCAATATTTCTGTGATGCTTTCAAGGCTTTGTTTTAAGCTAATTTCTTTTTAGTCAAAGTGCCCTTCATTCTCCAGCATCCACATAAAAGATCCTAAGAACTTTGCTTACAACAGGTTTTTAAGAATAAATATTATTACTGCTTGCTTAAGCTCTTGGGACAGTATCCTGTGGATTTGTGTTATACTTTAATATACATGGGAAACACTCCCAGCACATCTAATACTCCTGCTGTCTGTCCCAACTCTGCTCTGGATTTAGATACCTGTAATAATAAATATGCTGCCACAAAGAAACTCTTCAAGTTCAGCAGCTGAGATCAATTTTCAGGTCGCAATATTTTCACTTTATAATCTAAACATGATCATCTGCAAGAAACACAGCAAGCACAGAGGTAGCTGTCATCATCAAATACATTAAGTCTCCAAAGTCCAGATTTTTACATACCTTCTTGTGAACCTTTGAAATAATTGTTTTCCTTCCTTTAGTGTCAAAGAAGTAATGATTCTAATAAACAAAATAATCTTTCACTATAACAGGCTTCTAAACTGTTGTTACAAGTGTTGAAATTCGTTGTAGCCCAACATAGAGTGGTCTGGTTCCTTTCATTTTTGTTTTTCTAAGTTTATTGTTGCTTTGAAAACTTTGCCCAAAATATTAGGTCACACTTTGTGGCAACCAACAGGAGGATCAGTGACAACAAGAGAAGAGGAAAGGAAGTAGAACAGATGGTAAGAGAGACAAGAGGAAAAGAGAAAGTGTGAGAAGACAAGGCTAATGAGGGAGGACACAGATGAGAGAAAAGAGGGACAGGCCAGAGTACAGTTTTCTGCATGTAATTGGCTCAACGCAGTGCATAGACCTGCAGGTGGTCTCTTCCTGTCTTTGACCTTGAGTACTTACCACAGGACGATCGTACCTTATGCCAACTCAACACAGTAAGAGAGGCAGAAAGAAAGAGGAGAGGGTGGGTGAGTGGGCACAGCGCTGACCCAAGCACATCTCAAGAGGAAATCACCCCACCCATGGGGGCTTACACTGCCAACAAAATTAACTTCCAGTCTTTTTTTTGGCAAGTACAGCATGCAATCAAGCAAGCACTGGTATTGTTTGTCTGGTGAGTCTGTGCACTGCGCTACTCTCTGGTTCTCTGTTTATGTCCCTGTTCTGTTGAGGTTCCACCTTTCTCCTGACTATGATTTACTCTTTATTTAAAAACACTGAAAAAACTGCTGGTGATGGATCTGTGCTTACCAGAAGTTAACCAGGAAGGGATGCTCCAGGTTCTGCATGATCTGCAGCTCTTTCAGAACATTTCTCACTTCGTTGCGTTCCACACATTTCAGCTTGTTCATGTACTTCATAGCGTACATCTTCTTGGTGTCCTTCTTCTGCACTATGCAAACCTGTTGAGATCACATGAGGGTAATGCTTATTCTAATGGATGCTTTATTGCCCTGGTAAATGACAGGAAAATGTCATTAATATAATGTATAATGTGGAACTCATTCTGAAAGATAATGCATGTCAGTTTGACACAACATTAAAACAAACAGCTGCCAATTAACAAATATCCAACAAAAAGAGAGAGCAAGAGAGAACATGTTACAAAACCAGCCTGTTTATTACCTGATTGGCTTATAAATGCCAACATACTAATGAGATTCATGAATCTTCATTGAATGTGGCACAACAAACCCTCCAAAAATCATACCTCAGAGCATTTGTCGTTCTTGTGATCATGAATTTAAGACGCTTCACATTATCTACAAGTCTGAGTTTTAAAACTTGGTGCCTGGCAAGTTCTAAAAATTGAGAAATGAAGCATCTCTGGTATTTCAGATTTAAACCAAACACACGTAAAATGGTGGAATCATGGTTTCTGGTTAAATGTCAAATGATAGAATCACATTTTAGATTTTGATCATAATAATAGCAATTTTCAGAGCAATTTATTTGCAGTTGTTCTTGTTCAGAGCATCAATAAGCCAAAGATTACTGCTATCGAGGCGAGTGATCTCTGCACCAGCTGGCACAATTAGTCACCCAAGGCCTGATTGCTTCACTCTTCACAGATTGTCTTTACTGTTATTAGGCTGCTTATCTGTTGTGGGTCTTTGCACTGATGTTATGTGTTTGTGTGTATTTGTATCCAGTATGTACTTAAAACAACATACTGGATATGAAGGGGAATCACTTTGAACTATGTGGTTTCAAATGTTGAAGTCCAGCTGCTGTAAACTTAGATTTGTTTCTCTTGTGTCCCTGGTCCTTTTCAAACAAATCACAAGGTGAACTTAAGTGGAATGCATGTCACAATGTTGCATAGCTGGATTTATCACTGTGTCTTACCTGGAACCCAGAAACCCCAGTATTGGATTCTCAGGATTGGCTGCCAGTTTCTTATCAAATTGATTTTAAAATTCTGGCTTTTAGTCCGGGCCTATATCCAGGACCTTCTTTCACAACCGTTTCGCTTCAGAACTCTTCGATCAAATAATAAACCTCTCTAACGTGTTCCCAGAAGCAGAAGCAGAGGAGACGGGGCATTTTCTGCGACTGCTCTTACTTTGCAGAACAAGGGACTCTTCAGATCTGCTGATAGCCTGGAAAACTTCAACTCATTCCTCAAAACTCATTTCTTTTTACAGAAATGAGTGTTGGGCTTTTACAGAAAGCCCAACATTATAATCTGCCTGTCCTGCTTGTTTAATTTATTGTGTTTTACTCCTATGTATTTTTACTGGGGGATTTTACAGTTAATAGATGTTTTTAAAGTGCTTTATAAATAAAATTGACATTGAGATTACTGACAGTTTTTTAACATTAATCATTGTTCACAGGGACCCAAATACATAATGCAGCTCTACACACAGATGCACTTCTTGTTATCTGCATCATCTTAGCCATCACAATGCCTGATTTCTATTCCAATTTTAATCCATGAATGGATTCAGATAACCCCTTAATCAACCATTTGGATAGAAATCACAAGTTACATATCAGATTACTTGAGAAGGAAATGAAAATCAGATGAGAAAAGTGCCAAAATATTAATGTGTTGCAGCAAACTAGACAAACAGAATGATGGAAAGCAAAGCGTACCATTGTAAAGGTTTACCAACCTGTGTGAGATCAGAACAAATGACTGTTGCAGTAGAAAAATGGTGGCAGTATTAACAACCAGCAAGGCACCAGCAGCAATTTGTGATACTATAGAATGAAGACAAAACATGCCTGCAGGCACACTGTGTGTTTTACAGGAAGCGAATGTTTTAAGTTCATTATTCGGGATGTAGGTAAGTGATTTAAATATGTTTAATCCTCCTGTTATATTGTGGGTCAAATTGATCAGTTTTAAAGTTTTTTGGGTTTTTTTTAAGGTTGGAAGTATTTTCTTTGCATGAAACTTTTTCTATTTGTCTTAATAAGTGCACTCTACATATAAAGTGAACATTTATTCATTTCACACATTTGCAACCTCCCCTGCATCTACTTCTTACAGAAATACTGTTTGGGTCAATTTGACCCAGCAGTCAACTTGAAGGGTAAAAGAGATTTTAAAAAATCCAATTCTAAATGTTTCCTTGCAGTTATGAACCATATTTCACCACACACACACACACACACACACACCACACACACACACACACACACCACACACACACACACACACACACACACACACACACACACACACACACACACACACACACACACACACACACACACATACGTGCACACGCGCATGCACTCAAGCCCATTTTCTCACTACTCTCTTTACTTCACTTGGAAACTGCGAGAAAGCAGGTGTTCATACAACTTTTGACGGGGACCTTGTCTGTTCTGTGGACAAACTCCACTCCACCCACACTGAGTGACACTCAGCAGAGCTGGAGGAAAACATAAATATTCTCTGCATGATCTTGATTTTAATCAGAAGGTCAATTTGACCCAGAACAGTGTATATGTCCCAAGTTCAATTATAAAGATATTTTTTTAAAAATGAATAAATAAATGAAAATTTAATATAATAAATGTACAAAAGATCAATTTCACTGTTTTTCAGTGGACATAAAAAAATGTAAATTCCCTTTTTATGATCAAATGAGTAAATTAGTAAGTTGTTGTCATTGATCCTTTATTTTTGAGAAATAAAAAACATCATTGCACAAATATTGATTGAAATTGTTAATATTGGAGTTAATAATCAGATACAAAAATGTTTTGGAGGAATCTTTTGATTTCTGACACTACTGTGTGATTAAACACTCGCCAGGTCAAATTGACCCAGGAATATTAATGCTGTACCTCAGAAGCAAAGATAACAGGAGCGTTAAGGTGGAAAAAAGTTAAATAAATTTAACTTACCTTTCCGAAACTCCCTTTTCCAATAGCCCTCAAGATTTGGAAATGGTCAAAATTGACTGCAGCAAAAACAAAAAAAAGGAAAAAAAGGAATAAAATTATTATACATTAAGACTCAAAAAATATATTTAGGAATTGTAACTGATGATTCTGATCAATGGTAAATTACTGCATAGTCCCAGCAGATCATCTGAAATCTGTCATTAAACCCAATTCAGTTCAACAAGTCAAAACTTGCAGATTCAAATTTTCTGAGTTTTTCCAAAACTGGACAGGGAGGAAATAATTTCAGTAGAAAGGATAAAAGATTATGACCAGGTGGTTGGACGGACGGACAGACAGACATAAACATAGCCAGGCTATGCAGTGACTTCATAGTCAAATCCGTTGTACATCAGAGAGTGAGGATCAGGCCCAGCTAATATGATTAGTTCAGTCTAAACTGATTAGCAGGTGTCACTTAAATTTAAAATGACTCCCAGATGAGTTCCAGGGTCTCCTGATTTCCTCAGCTGATTTAAACGAGAGAAAGGCTGTCAAAGTGCCAATTACACTCTTGTGCAGATGTTGATTATTTCATGCTGTTACTCGAGTGTCCATCACTTACTTCAGCATATCAAGCCACTGAAAGTAAAACATAAACCTCCTCCCCCTCTTTTCCTTTGCTTCCTGGTGTGTCTTCCTGTAATCACGTTATCTCACGTCTAATCTACGAACGCAGCTGTGTCTCTGAAATCATCGGGACAGGATCTCCCAGTAGCTTAGCAGTGAAATGGCTGTAATTACAGAAGCTCTATGGGTCTGCGTTGACTTTAGTCGGTGGCAACTCTAAATCTGCATGTTTGTGATATGTGTGTGTTATTTAGCTGGTCCCATGTGGACTACATCTGGACAGGTTTGGTAAACACCCCGGCACAGATAGCGTGAAACGGGGAAGTGCCACTGATACGTGACTAACGGAGCATAACATCAGCTGTCACATCCAATTGATCTAGTGGCTGCAGGCTAAATGTGAGAGTGTGTGTCCCTGTGTGTGTGTGTGCAGTGTAGTGTTTTAAATGTCCTGTGCATGAGTGTGTTTTGGGTAATTGTAAATGTATGTGCAGCATCATTTGAGTGTGTCATCTGGTGAGAGCCAATAACGGACAGCAGCTGTTCCATCCTCTGGGACAGCAGCAGAGGGGGAAAACCGTCTGTCCTCGTTGTCATGACAGCAAAAAACAAACAGCCCCCATCCGCTTCCAATAGCCGATAAAGTGGCTGATAGAGAGGAGTGAGACAGAGCGAAATGCTCTGGTTGTGTTCCCATGTGTGTGTTTGTTAGACAGTGACTTGATAACAAAATGAACCAAACGCTGGAAAGCTGCTAAAAGGAAAGTGCTGGAAATGTCCCTCCAATCTCTAAATGGCTCTTAAGGGAAACCTTGCAGCAGTCGTAGTGGACATCATTTGTGCTGAAGATTATTTTGGTTTGTGCCAGAATATCAGAGGTCTCTGACTAATCTGGAGATCTTCAGCTCCTTCAACTCAACTAATGGGATAAAAGAAAACTGAAATTCTCAGAACAACCAGAATTTATCTGGTTATTTAATTATTTTTTACAAGTTTGTTTTGTTTGTTACGCAGCATATTTTCAGAGATAAATTTTGTTAACTACAATTATGTACTATTTAGGCTATTCATTAGATATCTATCGGAATCATTCTCATATCAATCTGTAATCTTTTTTCTCTTAACTAAAAAAAGATCATTTGCTTGCACTTAAGTTACAAAAATTAGCCTTTCCTAATCCTCACCCAGTTCCTGTTGAATATTTTTATATCCAAGGCTTCAGTTTTGCTTTAGGTTTAGTTTTTTTTACAGATGGTCTAACATTTTTATAAACACCTTCTGATAGAAATCATATAATGATGAGCTGACCAGGTCCTTCAGCAGTAAAGCACCCCCAAATCATGCCGCTTCCACCTTTATGCTTTACATGCACGACCAAAACATGTGCTTTCTATTTTAGTGGTGGCCCAAGTCTGAACGAAATGAGATCATCTCTGAAAGCTCTTGAGAGAACACATTAACGGTGGAGATATTGGATTTGGCCTCCAGGTAAACATTAATGTCAGTTTTCGTCTTTCTCACTCACTTGAATGACCTGATCTGATGTGACAGAGGGTTTCTAATGAGATCGAACAGATTGAGCAGGAGTCTATGGTGGTTTAATCAGCACATCCAACACCTTAAAACACATCATATGTCTTCCTGCTCTTTCACATTAAGTCACAATAAAACCGCAAAGTCTTAGAGAAAGCATCTATGAACAGCCATTTTCAAGGTCGGAACAGATTTCCTTCCATCCATCTCCATCCATCTCCCCATCAACAGATTGCCCATACCTGAAATACCTTATGAACATTAAAGTTTAAGACAGCATAGATTGTTCTAAAACAATCTATTGCTAGCTAAGAATACACTTAGTATTGAGTCATGACTAAATCAGTTAAAGCCTCAAACCTAAAATCTTGTCTATTGAGCAGCTGAAAATCAGTGATTATATTTTGGTCTCGCTCACAACATCAATAGAAATATTTCAATCAGAGCTGCAACAGAAACAATTCAAATCTATGGACAGGTCCTTTCACGTGTTTTGGCTTCAATGTTATTTCTATTTAGTCAGGTGAATCTAAACAATGTCTTAAATTATGGAGTAAAAGTCATTTTATCTCTGTCTCTCAATCTTTGTCTTATTACTCCAGCAAATTATCTGAGTGTCCACCTTTGTGTCGGAATATTGGTTGTCTTTGGTAATTGAAATATAAGGTCTGTGTCCAGCCATGAATAAATTCTGGTGGCCACTAAATGTGGCCAATCAATTAAGTAAGACCTCACATGGCTGCACAGAGTGCGGAGGAAGGAAACACATGTCTGGTGACGTATGATGTGCAAACATCAAACTCTGGGGACATAAACAAGTCTTGACAGAGTCTACCTTCATACAAACACCTCTGAGCGCCAGGTGACTATTTATGACCAGATGTGGTTTGATCATTTATAGTCAAGCATGTCTACATTTCTGTAGAAATATGAACATTTCTGCAGAAATGTTAACATTTAATTCATCTTTTTATCCTGTTGACGTGATATACAATTTGTTCCAGCTGTACTGTGAACAATTCCGATGTTTCTTTTAGAAATTAACTGCTTTGTTAATAAAAAAGTGCCATGAGTATCCATAACTAAAACAGAGTAAAATTTATTGTGAGTCAATTTTTTTTGTTGGCTTTATTAAAATGCTTTATGCATTTCTCAGCTGTGCATTTGTACTATGTACATTTTGCCACAGCAAACGGATTCACAGCTTCACAGAACAACCAACAAGAAATTGTTACCAATATCACCTTGGAGTGACAGTGAAAAGTCGATTTGCATTTTTATTGCCACTCAAAGCAGTGATTGCATGATGGGTGTTAATACGTATACTTAACATGCAGAGAACTGACACTTATCAAAATATTAGAATTGGAAATTGACATATCAAGAGATGAAAGGAAGTTTGTTCCCAATCAATTTTAAAAAATGACTTTAAAAGTGGATTCTTGAGTCAGACTTTAGCTATGTTTTTGTTGAGGACTCAAGTCAAGTTCATTTGAGCAGCACATTTCACCAAAATGACAGTTTAAACTGCCTTACACTAAACAAACATAATATAGTCAATTATGGAACAAGCAATATATGTTATGTCTGTAAAAAAATCCCAGTTCAGCTAGTTTCAAAACTACTGAAAGTTCCCACCATGTTTTTGATGCTGGACTGACCAGACATTTTTAATGTATTGTAGAATGTTGCAGCGCTCCCGCTACCCAACCGCTGCTGCACACTGCCTGGCAGCTGGCTCACTGAACATTGTTACACTCTCAATCACTTATGAGAAAAAGCATTCAGAAATAATTCATGTTGTAACATGAACTGAGATCTATGGTGCGGGAACTAAACCAACCGAACTGAGTTCTTTTAAGGCAGCGTTTAGCAATGTGTTTGTGAAGGGACTGATTTGAGCAGGAAGGCGTAGGACGGTGTCTGTAACAACCTTCACTGGTCAGATTTACTGATGAAGGGAATGATGATGTATGGTTTGTGCAACTTGCCACTCCAGTCAATACAAAACATGTTCTGTAGCATTTTGAAATGTTTGCTGTTAATTTTGTGTTCCAACAGAGCTACTGCATTTTACAATTTTTATATTTTGTTCCCAAATATTGCAATGGATATTAATGAGTCTGGCACAAATCGTGTTTGGATGACGAAGCTTCAGCAGAAAAAAAATCAGCTGCTTTATCATCATGCTGGTAAAATGCTTTCAAATGATGCCTCTTCCTCAGTTCTACTCATTTGATTTAAATTTATTTTCATTATTTTAACATTGTTAAATTGTAAAGAAAATAACTTTTGTATGTTTTGTACAAATAACGACTTCTTCTTTGATAAGTTTCCTTTTCTCCTTTATTTCCTAATAAATATCAATCTAGACTGTGCAGTTAATTGCAACTTGATATCAATAAACAAATAAACTGATTGTTGCTTTTCACATCAAAACTCAAAGCCATTGACCAATCCACTAAAAATGTAACAGACTAGTTGGAAATACTTGGGTTGCAGACTCTGATTTAGATCAATACAATCTCTATGTATAATCTATGCAGGACGCACAACAGAAAAATGTATTCAAATCAGCAGCTCTGCCACTGAAAAGTCCGTTTGATATCAGGCTGTCAGGAGTCTAGAAACAGGGAAAGATTCAGCTAGTAAATAACAGAAATTATAAAGACGAGGAAGTCTGTATGCACACAGGCAGCTATTCTAAGACTCTACAAAATGTATCACAAAAAGATCCTTTCCTTTTATTACAGTTTAAAGAGATTTTACCATGGTGCTATAAAAACACCTTGGGATTCCCCCAGAGGAGGCAGAAAGGAACATCTGGGTCACTCTGCTTAGTCCCTGTGGTCCAATCCCACATGAGTCAACAGTGATTGATTGATTGGCTTATTGATGGTTTGATTGATGCATATAAGAATTTGTAATCTACATAATTTACTGGGTTTTCTTAGATGGAAAACTTTCTATCATTAGGAATAAATTGGATTTTGAATGATAGGTCAAATGTGACCCAAGTCAGATTTGACTGTGGCCAAATTCCAAAAAATCCCATAGCGTGGGATTTATTGGACTAAAATGCATTTATATAAATGACTATTTTCTGCATTGAATTGCATTAAAAATAAAGTTGATAAAATAAAGCAATAAAACTGTTAAATAGGCAGCTACAGTCTGTATCCAAGCACAAAACCTCTCCTCATCTGTACTTAGTGGTACTCTAAGCAGACTGACCAGAAGAAATAAAATAAAGCAAAAAAACACACTTAACTGAAATCTACAAATAACAGCAGGTCCCGATTCTATTTTTAGATTTTTTGACATATGGTATAGATAACCGTATTTCACTATTTAAAATATAAAATATTTTTTGTGGTAGAAATAATTGTTTAATTTCTTTTTAAGATTAAAGCAATTATACTGCGGTAAATTAAAATAGTATGTTTTACAAACTTATCAAATAATGCAATTGCACAAAATGAGCGAGAACCAATCTGCTGTTCGTCAAGCTAAACAGCCGTTGACTGTTAAGTGTTCTTAATTTTGTCAGGTAGCAGTAACACTTTGATGAGGCAGCAGAAAAGATGCTGCACGCTGCATGCACAACCTTTGTCAGTTCATTTGTGGGCAGTAAACAGGAAGAAAAATACACTGAAAAGGATCATCTGGATTTTTACACTCACCCTCATCCGTGTCGTCAGTGACCGGAGTCTTGCTGGACTGTCCGAGTCCCATGACTGACTGCTTCTCGCACAGATCGTCCTGCTCTTGCTCTACTCAGCCTAGTTTGGAGCAGCTCTCCTTCATAGCCTGGTCAATAGCTCAGCGCACTGAGAGACTCATGGGCTGGATCGCGTTTTGCTGACTTAAAGCGCTTCTCTTAGGCCACACATCACCGCACGAACACAAACACACACAAAAAGAGAAGGGCTGGGGATGTTGAACTATAAAGCCACCAACACACACACTCTCTCACAGGGAGAACCCCCACGTTCGCTGTCTGTCTTCACTGGTGCTTTAGACGACTGCAGGCAAACGGACAACTCTTTCCAGCAGAGAGGAGGAGGGTGGGTGATATGCCTGTGGCTATGAACCTCCTTTGACTCGGAGTCTAACCTGTGAGGGGAGACAGGGAAAACATGAAACCAACAGCTGATTGGAGGGAGGCGGGACAGAAAGAAGGAACAATAATGAAATGGTACAATATTGATTTTCGATAGATCCTAAGACATCAATGTTTTAAAGAAGCTCAGACTTATACAGGAAACAGGGCTTTCTGTTTCGCACTCTTTACTCTTCATCTTTCCTTTGTCTGCATCTGTCAATTATTTAACGTCCATATTTTAATCAAAAGCCCATCCCAGAGGAGCACTGTCTGCAGAGTATGTGTGAATAATGGCAGAACCACCTTTCCCATTAACGGCGTACAATTGGAGGCTTTTGATTTACAACTTAGTGCACTGTGAATGGAAATAATTCAGGCTGCCCTCACAAAACTGTAGGAGTTATGATGAGATTTTGGCTTCATGGCCAGAAGGACCACTGGTACCGAGTGCTGAGTTTTAATGCTGTAGCTTAGATAATTGAGTGCATCTTATTCATAAACTCCTTTGGACATTTTCTCTGAAAAAGTTTTCTGTTGCTTCACTTTAAAAACAACCTATTTAGTAACATTTTCGCAAAAAGGAGTGAATGAACATTGACATTAAATGGTAGGTAGATTTGATGGAGACTTACTGAAAGACTATCAGGGGTTCCACAAGGTTCAGATCTTGGTCCAATATTGTTTTCATCATAGAAAATCAGCTAAGGAATATGAATTTAAAATTAGATTTTATTTTACAGGTTTTGTAACTGTAAAGTGGTCAAGATAAATAATGTTTACTTTTGAATATCTGATATTTATTAACCATGTTATAGCTTGCCATATAACATTATCATTTTTATCTCTCTTGAGCAAATATCAAGTTCTTTAGATTTAATGCAGAAATAGGTCTGGATGTTGTTTAATGTCATTTGGAAATATCAAACCTTTCCTTGCTGTTTGAATGAATAGGTTTACAGTTTTTGCAGGTTGCAGCCTGTCTGATGATGGATTATTTACTCGGATTAGTTCTGACCACCACAGTTGTTATCAACACTCATCGTTTTCTAATTTAGACTGGTAAGTCAAGAAAAACAATCACATATCCTCTTTTATGGTGATGATAATGTTTAAAATGAAGGTTCCAACTTCGGTTCTCAGTAACTGATATATTGAACAGGTTGCATATGGTTATAATTCATTTCTTCGGATTATTAGAACTGTGCTGCAGCTGCCTCGGTCGGGTCTGTATTGCAAACAAGATGTGGGATCTCAATGGGACAAAGTTGAATAAAGAAACCTGGATTAAATGGAATGAGTTGATAATGCAGTCTTTATAGCGGACACATGCAGAATGCGTCAACACCGCACACCGAACATTCTCTCTGAGTTCAATGAAATATTCAAAAACTAGTGCGGGACGCCGCAGTGCTGAGATCCCCGCAGAGGACACAGTGCTCGGAGCCCCTTATCTGATCTGAGAACATGCGCTGAATAGAAAGTACCCCGTGGCAGCAGTGGGGTGCACCTACCTCCTCAATGCTGACAGTTAGTGAGCATGGCACCGCTCCCAGGCGAGCTTGCTGCAGAGAAACCGTAAAGCAACAGTCCAGCTGAAAGCAGTAGTTGTATTCCGGACGATGCTGCACCGGGACACCTGTCACCCGAAAAATGGGTCCGCGCAGCAGGACGTGACTCTCGGGATGCGGCGCTGGAGTGCAATGCGAAATCCCGTGCAGCGTCTCTGAAGGACAAAGGCTGCAAAAACTGGGATTTTTCGGTAGGAGGAGTGCGCCGCACGTTGCTCTGATGCGCGACTGACCTCCACATCGCAGCCTGAGTGAATCGGTTGGCCACCTCCACAGCCGTGCGTCCACAGGGAGGCACGTTTCACTAGACTCCCTGCTGTGGCCGCGGGGCTGAGGTTCCCCCGGGGGGCTCCAAACACATCAACATGAGAGGAACCCCCAATGTGTTTATTCCCAAAGGTTACGTAAATTTCACCTGGTGATGATGTAACATGTCATTCTGAAAATGCCACAATTCATCACCTAAAATAAATGTGACATGACCTTATGAGAAAATGATTTACATCAATAAATAAGTTCTAGGTTGTATTTAGATCTGGTTTTAAGAATGTAAATCACTAATTTATATTGTTTCTACCCTAACATTAAAACATTGTTCCAGTTTATGTGGAGCAACGCATGTTGATAATCCCTTTAGAACAGCGCCCCCTACAGCAAATGCCGGGTTGCCACTTCGCACATGTGCTCTGCTGAAAGTCAATTTTTTTGTAATGTGATGAAAAATCTATTTCCGCAGGAAAAAAAACAATTCAGTGCAACTCTATACAATTATTCTATGTTTCTAAATCATTTTCCATATATAATATAGAACATAGAGTTTTTATTGTGTGAATCTACATCTGATGCTGTTTTTTAGCTTGAACGGGTGAAGTCAGACCCCCGACTCAATACTTTGTGGAACCATCGTTGCTGCAGCTTTAAGTCTTTTGGGGTATCTCTCTTCCTCCGTTAACCTTCTATAATGGAGGTGAACGGATCAGTATGGTGACATCCTTACCATTTGTAGAAGGTAAAGGACAAGTCAGAGTCAACAAATGTAACAGATGGATATGTGTCAATGAACTCTTTCTCATTAGGTTTAGACTAATTGTTCTGTTCCATATTTGCCTTTCATTTCTTTTGTGTAGGGAAGCAAAATAATTTCAGGATCATGCACCAGTGTTTGCAGCACAATAACATACAATCTGATCACAACTCATGCAAGGCTGTCACTGATGTTTGATACACATGGAAATCCTGCATGAATCTTTCAGTTTTTTCATGCACTCCACACGTCTACAACAAGGACTGCAAAAATTAGTACAATGACCCAGAAATAAAATAATTTAATCTCACATAAAACATTGCAGATACTTCTGTCACCTCAGCATTCTGGATGCTTGAATTTGAAAACAAAATTGGTACCATGACAAACCTTTTTATCACTTTGACTAATAATAGTCAAACCACTGAGAAGGTGGTCAGAAATCGTAGAAATTCCATTGCTAAATGGTCTATTGATCCATATTTGTGAAAAAAAATTAAATAAAACAGGACAGAACCATCTCAGCAAAAGTAAAATATATCATCCTGACAGAAGAGAAAGCTTAAAGATCCTCAGTTTTCATATATTTTTCACAGACAAGCAACCATGGAAAGATGTTTGAAAGTAGCTTTAGTTTTCTGTTGCACATAAAGAATTGCACATGAGTCAAATAGGTTCAGTTTTATTCTCATCTGATCTTCTGCTGCCTCAGTAATATAGTATCCAAATGAAATGCAAGTTTGTGGTTTTCACATGTGAAATTTCAAACAGCCTGAACATTTTTGCATTGTCATGCTTCTACTGTATACATTTGAAGCCAGAACTTTTCTTTGCCACATCATAATTTGCCAAGTTTTGGGTCATTTGTTCAGCCCACCATCATCCATTAACTTGTTCTGCCATTAACTACAAACTGTAAAACACATCCATCCATTGTAAGGACTGCACCCTCCCCTCGGTCCCCTGTTAATTCTGTGGGCCAAGGTCAGAAGGAGAATGGCTGAGTGGTGGGACTGGGGGATGAATTATGCTGACGGTGCACACTGCTCAGTTTTTCCCCCTTCTCGCTGTTCAGTCAAGCCAAAGCACACCGTGTGTGTCATCTATCTTTATACAATGAACATCTCAGCATGCTATGAAAAGTGACAAGCATCAATCAAAACCATGCCAGCCCCTTGTTGGGCTTTTGGCAGCATGAGTAGGTATGTTCGTCTTTTGGATGGGATGAGTGATGACTGTGTCATGTTACACCTGCACAGAAAGAAAAGAAAGACACTTACCATGTGGGAGGCCTCAGCCTGTCCCACTGCTGTCCTGTTTTGTAAGTACATAAAGTTATTTTGACCTGGAAAGTGAACTATTGGTTTATCCTATTTAGTTGTTTGATTTTGGGCAAGAACTTTTAACGACAAAAGAAAGCTCTGCAGAAAAGTCTCTTGAAAATCAGCCCCACCTAGTGGATGAAGGTCAAGTCTAAGAAAACAGCAGTTCAGTCTGGACTCTATTTGGCATTGAGCCTTGAGAATATCAGCCTATATTGTTAGAAAGGACTGGTGTTGTAATTTGTCTTTTTTATTTTAGACAATGCAAATGCAGTCATAATAAACAGAAAGTATATTTTAATGAATATACTATTATATATATATATTGAAAGCCTTTTTTTCCATAGCTCTAAAATAAATTAGAAAAAAAATATATTTTGAGATTTTATGATTAAAACTGAGAAATGAGAAAATGTACCTCTAAAATTATTTTTAGCTTCACCTCCAAAGCATAGCTGGCATAACAATATGAATTTTCTGAACTCTGTTGAGTGGGTTTTATTCATGTAACATATTGCAATAAACAAATGTAAAATGTTTTCAAAACTATCATTCACATTTCTTAATACCCTTTGCACAGAGGTCCTGAGACTGTTGATGTTAGCTGGAGTTATTTTTGGAGAGATAAGACAACATTGTTGACTGAAGCATCTGATGTAATAAATATAAGAGACCTTATGATTTACAATACAATATTTCACAAAACAGATACAAAACAGTTTGTTTTTAGTGTCAAATTACAACACATGTAATCCACAAGCAATTTTACAAGACTGATCCAATTATTATCCAATGAAGACTCTGTCCAAATTTAACTTAAATTGTTTGAATTCCAGAACAATCAAATTGTGTTTATTGTACATTGTACAGTCAAATGAAGTTCATTATAAAATGCTTATTGGTAAAAGTCACTTAAGTTGGTCTGACTGCATCAAGTTGTTGACTTGATGTTGACTCAAGCATGTGTTGATCCAGGGGAGGAACCACTTCCTTAAACCACTGTAAACCTGGCTCAGCATGACGGAACCGTCTGCAGTGTAAGAGAGGAAGCAGAACAAACCCCAGCAGAAATAGAACAACAAGACTTTTCATGGCTTTATCTGTTTATGTCCAAAAGCAAAGCAGCGTGCATGACATCAGTTATTTTTACATTTTATTTCCTTTAAAAAAATGCTCAAAAAAATCATATAAAAAATAATGTACCAACAGTATATCACATTGTGATGAGAACAATTTTGACAAAAGAATGCTTACTTTGTTTTGACTATAGCAGCTTTATGAAGTGGTTTTCCAATAATCGTGACAATTACAGTTTACAGTTTACCTATAGTTAAAGTTTCTTCCATTGCCAAAAAGCTGGTTTAAAAATATCTCACTGAGATTCTCCAAGCCAAAATAAGCACTTACTCGTCTTCCACAAAGGATCTTCAAATGCCATACTGTTGCATAATACATTTTGGAGAAAACAAAGAGGGCGTGTTAAAATGTGTCTGCCAGCATACGTGGCTAAATATATGCAGAAAGAATCAGAAAGGAATTCAGTCATCACAGCAGGTTTCTGTGCATCATGTTGATCTTGAAAAAGTTGTTGCTTCTTTTATCCGTGGTGCCGATGGGACTGAGCTACCCTTTCTTCCCACCAACCTGCTACTCCAAGGCTCTCAACATGGCACGGGAGCTCACCCAGATGGCAGCTGACTTGAAGATTGGCTATGAAACCGTGAGTTAGATACTCTGATTTTTAACAGTCTTTGATGTTTAATCTGCTAGAGGTATATTTTTTATTTGTTAATTTATGTCTTAATTTCATGGCTGGATTTTTTACATTTTCCACCAGGGTCACTGTATGGCGCATATGCCAGAACTTTACCTTGATATACATGTAAGTATGATTTACAAATTCTGTAAAACACCATTTAAAAGTCAACATTTTCAAAATGTGCTCAAATCCCTAAATCAATGACTTTAGAAGCTTTACTCTAAGTTTATTTTAAACTTAGAATAAAGTTTGGGATTATCACCCAAATCTTATTCTAAGTTCCTTGGTTGTTTCAACACTTCTGTTGTGTTTTGACAGCAAACCTCAGGTCCTTCAAATAACATATGGGAAATCTTAATTGTTACTCATGACAGAATGCCTGTGTGATGTACAAAATGAGGGACTACATCTCCCTGGTGGAAGACCTGAGACGGCGGCGCTGCGGTTACACCAGAGAAGTGAGGAAGCTGGAAGTCACTCTGCGGCAGCTCTTCATTGTCATGGGAGAGAAATGCCATGGGGTAAGAAAGGCCACAGTCCTTTAGTGGGCATAAACTGTAACAACCATAATGTTTAATTTAGGTATTTCAGATTATGTCCACAGATGCATCTTATTTAGTGTATACCATGATAGATCCCCTGCCATCCCTGCAGCAACCCTCCCTAACCCCGCTAGGGACAAGGGTGTTAGAAAATGGATGGATGGATATAATATGACAGATGATAAATTGTCATTGACATTAAATAATGAATAATAAAATAACATTTAATTACGTGTCAGACGCCTAATTCCTTTGAGAACAGCAACACTGGTGCACACATCCAGCTCCGTATGCTGCAGTAAGGCACCTAAAGTTTGACGGCTTCATAGATGAAAAAAATAAAATAAAAATAAGATAATCTCAACGGTGCTTTAACAAGATCGTGGTTGAGTGCAAATTGAAAATGGTTTAAATAGAGAGGAGATAAGCAACTTGAAAAATGCAAATGGTTGTCCTCAAAAGACCTCTGATCTGCCGTCCACCATCACCCGTGATGTCGCCAGCCGCATGTCGCTCTGCAGGCTTGATTTTGGAAAGAAATTGTGTTTTACAATAAAAAAGCAAATCCAACTAAGTGATTGTTTTTTTGAGAAACTATATATAACAAGAGTTTAACTGATGTGAATGAAAAGTCTGGCTTTAAGTAGTATTTCAATCATGTTTTCTTAAAACCCAAGTAGTCAGGAAACGTGATATTTTATTTTGAAAGTTCAGTCTCTTTCAATCATTCTAAGCCATAACTCATCCCATGTTTTGCATGATTGCCATTTAACTTCCTGAGCAATGAGTCTGTCGCCACAAGTAATGTAACTGCATAAAACTGGAGCTGAACTGCTTATTTAATTTTGCAAAGAAAAATGAGACCCAAGAAAATGACCCTTATCAATCTAAGCTACAGTTTAATACACTTGAGTAAAATTTGAAGGACAGCCTAATGGCATATATGAACACCAAACACAGTTACACTGCATTCCTGCAGGAATGATGACGAAAGTATTGGCAGGAATAAGGTAATATTCTAACTGTGCAAACCAAAATAAGACATTCTGGTTCATTTTGATGGCCAAAAATAACAGCATATATTTGAATATCTGTTTACAGAGAATGCCTGTCACTGCGGCATGACTGGACAGAAAATGAAAAAAAAACGTCTGCAGTTTAGTGGGTCACTCAGTGGGTGCTCTGACAGGATTAGGCACGATTTATGATGCAGTTTATGAGAACTGTGCTGTCCTGTGGGGACGTTTGATCCCACTCACGTGATGAGGAGAGTCACACACATCTAGGTCTGCAGACAGTGTCCCAGTCTGAGCTGACGAGGCCATGGTGTGGCCTTGCAGTAATTGAGGTAAATCACAGAAATTACTGTGATTTCAATTACTACATGGAGTGTAAGAGCCAAAGTGTCTCCTGGGAGGTTGACAAGAACCTTATATCAACTGCTATGTATTATTATACTGAATATTATTGTTTTAACACACAGCAATACACTTCTAAAAGCTTATTATGATCCCACAACTGTCATTAATTAATATTTATATGTCATACCTCTTATGTGTTTTAACAGGACCTGGTGTTTACTATCTATGACTGTGCTGCGCTGGAGCGTCCAAACAATCAGTACTGAAAATCCACCATTCTCATCTGTCAAAGACAGCTTAAAGAAGTGGAAAGGGCAAAGTTTTATGTTTTTCTTTTTACATTGTGTTACATTACACAATATATGAATTTTTTAAGGAATTGTAAGAAAACTGGTGATTTTAAAACAAAAAATGGAATGCTTCTGACTGTTACAATATAACATAAAGCTAACAAAGTTTATTTAAATGTTCTTTTTGCAGTGCCTTGCAAAAGTATCTGTTTTCTTTTACACTATTTTGGATTTTGTCACTTGCAACATGCATGGTTATCAATGTTTTTTTCACAATGAAAATCTAAAATTTGTATTTACATCCAGCATTTCTCTGATCTTCTGTTCAATAACCCAACAACTTCAGGTCCATCAGATAGAGTAAAAGTTATTCTTCATCAGTTTTCATCTCATTTATTTGACATTTATTTGTTTGAAGGATGACCACTTGGGATATAGCATTTCATTTTCAAGGGGATCATTGAGACATAATGGCATATCGTAAGACTGAATGGATTTGAAGGGTCGTTGTTCTGCTTAAAAGCACATGTTTCCCTCAGGAATGCCCCTAATTTGGTTCACATTAATGCTGACCAGCTTTTCTGTCCCTGCTGCAGAAAACATTTACACATTGTGATGCAACCATTATCCTGTTGGACTGTGTCCAGGGTTGTTTGAATCCCCCCATATGAGACACAGAAGATCGCAGTGGCCTATTTAACACGACTTCTACATTTGTGCCCTCAACATTTCTCTCCAGGAGACTTTGAATCATTTGTAGGAGCAAAACTGATGACGGCTCTGATAGGTGATCGTTACTCCTGCAAGCTAAAACCAAATTACGTGCCAACAGTTTTTTGTCCACAAAGCGCCTGTACCCAGTTGGCAAAAATGCATTGTAGCATCCATGTGACAATATTTTATCAAAATTTATATATCTATAAAAAGTCTATGGTATTATTGCTGCATTATTTTTACATCTAAACTAAATAAAACTAAAATCTACTGTTACAGCTAATTGTGGATTCCCCCAAAAGCAGGGACATTGTTTTATAAGTTAGTCAGGATTCAGGTTTATCCAAAACTGTCTTTCTACATTCGATGGTCTTTGGTGTTCTTTAACAGCACAGCTGTGGGTGGACTGGATTTGCTAATGAGATGACCCAGCAATTCAGATGACAAAAATGGTTATGCTTGCTTTTATTTGACAATACCAAATAACAAGGATGAGTAAAAATACGTGTCATGTTTTTAGATTTAATTTGAAAAAATGAAAAAGAAAAAAAGGAAAGAAAACCTTCTCACATCCTTTTCTTTCCACTTCACAACTGTTGGTCTATTAAATAAAACCACCTGAAAAATACAGCCAGATTATGTCTATAACTTGGCACAATTTGAAAAAGTGATAATAATACTTCTACAATGCCTTATAATTACAGTTTATATGATAATTTGTATCAATGTAAGGAGAATGAGAGTTTCTGGGAAAAGAATAAAGTTGCGTTTTTCATGTCCTTTCTTTTTCTTTCCTTTGTTAGTTTGAAATCATCACAACACCTGCCAGAATTTGAAAATACTATGTTGAAGATATGAATATTCCGTGTTTCTTTTTGGCTGTGAATCAATCAGAACTATTAAGGTAAAAAAAAAAAAATCCCTGAAGATGCTTTTAGGAAGTGAAAAATCTCCAGGTTATTTGATGACATCTGGGAGGCCGAGCTGATGTCACAGATGCTGAACAAAGTAAACATGTGGGCTTCAGTGGCAAGAGATCAGTGTGGGCAGGTTAGTGGAAACCTCTGAGGGCCGACTGAACCTGCATGAGCTTGTCTCTTTACTCCAGGCTATTGTCCCCAGAGCAGTGCAGATGAGATGAAGACATATGACCGCGTTGTGTGAACTTTATGCAAAGTCAAAGCATTAGTTAGAAGAGTGAAATGAAACCATGTCTGATTAAAGTAAACCACTAGAGGTGCTGTTTATTCTCAACAAATGGAATTACGTTTCTTAAACCATTCCATCTGCTGAGAGCACTAATGAAAAACATAAGATGGAGCATAAAATCTTCCCTTATTTAGGAACATCCCTATCAATATTAATTTTTATTAGTTCTTTTTATTTAATTGTCTAATTAAATGATTCCTGCTTTCAGTTGGTCACAAAAAGCTTTTAGATCAAATACACTGCTTGGGTGTTAAAGTCTGATGAAACCAAGTTTTTAGTTAGAATGAGAGATTAGACTCACATATATGTGAACAATTATAAAGGAGAACTGATGGCATCATGTTTGTGATGTAATCTCCTGACTTTAGTTACAAGCAGCTCTGCATCTGAACACCAGAGGAAGATAAAACAAAGTTTAGTATATATAGAGCTATGAAAAAGTACAGAATACCTCTTTTTGTTGCACTATTCAAGTAAGGATTTTATTTATTAAGGGAAAGTGGTATCCACATGTGTGAAAAAGTAATCTCCTACATTGCTAAATCATGAATTAACTGGGATTACTGGGATAGTCTGAAATCTTCCCAGGTGTGGCTGCTCTACATTCTTGATTGCATTGACAACTCAACTCAACCAGAAGGTCACGGAACTCTGAACTAACCTAAAACTCCACAGCCCTCACTAAATACAGCGAAGGATGATTCAAAAACAAGACAGAGAAAAAGTGGCAGTCAGTCACAGTGTACTGAGCAAATGGATTTAAAAATGCTGTGATGTTTCAAAAGCTTCAAAAATATGTATTTTTCTAGTTCATGCTTTAATTTTTATCTATTTGTCCTTTTACAAACTTCTGTTCAGGATATGCTCACTGACTTCTTTTTGTTTTTTCAATCACTTTGGATGAAAATATTTACAGTGCAGGTTGAGCAACCGATGCAGCAATACAGTGTGTTATTAAACTACATGCAAACAAGAACATTTAAACGCTTGTTTCGTGGAAAACTCCACCAGATGGCGCTGTTTTACCACGTGGAAGGAAGAAGCGAGTTTGCTGACATGCAGCAGAGTGAAATGAGAAGTGATGAGAAATGAGATCAAGAAATCGAAATATTGAATCAGACATGAGCGAAATTAGCTCTCCTGCCAATCTGACTAATTAATTTTCTTTGAAAACAAAATCTAAATGTGAGTTTTTGGGCTCTAGTATTGTTGCGATATATAAATAACATAAGCCTATACATTTGTATTATGAAACAGCAACACGTTGTCCATTAATTTGTAGATAAATAAACACGTGGATGGCTGTCAAATACAGAGCTACAGGCGTTGACGGGGATGGCTGCGTGCGCAAACCCGGATATGAAGTTTTTTTGCACCATCTGTGCCACACATAGGACGGACGGAAGAACTACATTTCCATGACGCCACTGAAAGAGAGGGCTGTTGCGCAATAAGGTGGGGCTTCGTCTCTCAGTTTGAATCAACAAGTTGCCCGGACAGCTTGACACGCAGAGTCAGAGAGAAACCCACAGCGTGTCCACCGCGCAGCGGCAGCGGCAGGTGGTCACTGGTGCCCTGTTCTTTGATCGCAGTTTGTGAGGCGGATTATTGACATGTTTTCTGCTTAGACCTCGCAGATCTTCGGGAGGAAAATGGATGGAGCAGAATAACTTCTTGAAAAAGCACTCAGTTCTTTTTACTTCTTCTTAAGAAGGCGAAAAGTGAACACAACGCTTCTCTGCGTACTGGCGTGCGTAAAGCTCTCTGTGTAGAGATCCGAGTCAACTTGCGTATTCTTTGATTCGTTCTTTCATCATTTACTTTTTATTTCATTCAAAAAGCGTCACACTGCTAATTATGGCATTCGCAAAGTTTAGTAAAATTATCCTAAAGAAGAAAGTCAAACAGTATGAGCACGTCAACCGAGACGTGAACCCTAATGACATCTGGGAGATAGTTGGAGAGCTGGGAGACGGCGCGTTTGGGAAGGTGTACAAGGTAAGAAACACCTGACTGTGATTCCCTTTTGTTTTGTGTTTTTTATATCCTATCAGTCACGTTTTAAGTTTTGCTGATGTTCCAACAGAGAAAAGGATGTAAGTATTGATCACATTTATTTTGAAGTTGTTTTTGGGTGTGGTGGACTACTCCCTGTCAGATGTGAGATGCTTCACCCTTCAAACTTTTTTCCTTTTTGTAAATGGATAGTTATGTCAAGTATGTTGTTAGTCAGGTAGTCACTCAGCTTTTAAGTAGCTCTGTCCACATGAACAGAACTGGTGCATCACTACGTCATCAGTTTAAAACTTTATTTATTTAAGCACTTTAATCACACAACTAACGCTTGTACTATACAGATTCATTGTGATATATTTTAAGTATTTATATCTGTTGATTTTGATTATTGTGGATAACAACTCATTAAAGTTTAAGTAGAACATTGCATACTATCAAAAAAGGTGTGAATGCATGGGAGACTGCTATTTATTATTTCTCCAAGCACGTGGGCCACAAAAGCAAAACGTAACTGTTGAAGAGCTGGTTTGTTCAGAGTGCTGCATAGCAATGGAAGGTTGGGTGGAAGGAAAACATGTGGGACAAAAAGGTGGTTTTAAGGGAGTTTTGGGGAGATTCAGAAAGACATGTCTTCATCTTTTGCATTCTTTTTATCACGCCCACTCCTGTAGAGACAAGAAATGTCAGCAGTGTCTTAATGTGCAAGGAAGAAAATGAGGAAATAAGTCACAGTTGCCAAAAGTCTTAGCAAATTTAACATTTTATTTTAAAAATCAATTTCAAAAATGTAGAGAAGCACCAAATTCAAGTTGCTTGAGGTCTAGTGTGAAATTCAACTCATGATTTTGGGAGCCATCATTACTACTGATGTGTGTCCACTGTGCTTTGTCAAGTTTAAACTCTGCACTGCCGTACACCAGGCACTTCATCTTCCCTTCTGCTGACTAACCTCATGGATTCATTGATTTGACTTTTTTTCTGCAGGCACTTGGCACCAACCCACACTGCAAAAATTATAAATGGCTGCTTTAAAGACCATGGTATCAATATGCTTGACTGGCCAGCAAACATGCCAAGTGCTAGCAGTGCAGATAAGCTGAAGGCCACTTATTAAATCAACCTGGGTTTCCTGTAACACCTCAGCAGGGCCACAGGCTGTGTTTGGGATTTTATTAACTGCAATCTTTAATTACGAAAACAAACAAATAAGTGCTTCAAGTGTATCACTGTGTTTTTAATCAGTCTGTATACTGATTAAAAACAGTATACCTACTGAATCTACCTACTGAAATGCATTACTTGTATCGGCACCTGTATTCATCCTTTCTACACTCAGTCTTTTCTGTGGTTCCACGGTAAGTCAGCCTAACCAGACAGTGAAAGCCCTTTTCATTAGTTTTGTGCCGCCTTCCAGACCTCAGCAACTGGCAGAGTTTTGGCTTGGAAAACTTATTTAATCTTGACCTGCTGGCATGTCAGTTTGCCTCTGTGAAACGGGGCACAGGCCCTCTGTGTCTGACAGCCCAGTGGAGCACAGTGAATGCCTTTGACACGGCAGAGGCTGCGTTGGAGGAATTCTGTAATGACGAGAAAAGGCACTTTTTTTGTAAGAAAGGAAACACTGCGTGCACATTCAGTTTTTGCTGTATAGGGCGTATGAATCGGAGAAGGTGTGAGGAAGTTAACTGTTTACCATTTTTATTAAAACCCTTTAGACACAAGAACTGGTTTTAGGGTGACATTTGTTTGAGAAAACTGATGACAAACCATTTTAAGACGGTTTTCAGTGCTAAAACTTACAAAAAGTTCACAAACCCACTAAATGAAGAGTAAAGTACCACACTGAAATCCAATCTCTCTCTTATATGTTTATCTTTCTCCATTCAAATTACAATCCTATTCTTTGGCTTCTGTTTGCAATCCTTCTGTGGGTTTCCAAGACAACATCTTCACACCTGCAGCTGTCAGAGGGTGAGGAGGCAGAGTCACCGATCAGATGATGACCAGAGAGGAAGTTGTGGGACACTTTGTCATCTCAGGGACTGATAACTTCCTGTTGCTGCTCCCAAATCTCAGAATTATAGGGTCATGTGTAGGAGAGAAAGGCCTTAATTGGTGAACTGCATGTTTTCCATTAAATACTGTGATAGAGGAAGACTGGTGGCAGGGTTGAGGACTGGTTTTCTCAGACTGTCAGGGGTAGAAGTTAGTTGTGAATGTGTGACCTGTGCTGCTGAAGGCAGAGATGTTTTCTGTTACTGAAACCAAGCAGACATGTTTAACAGCATAATGTGGTTGAGAGTACAGTGTCGTCCCGACACAGATTCTTTAAAAGTTATTGTCACTGCTGGAAAAACAAGAGCCAACTTGCTAAAGAAGAGTGTTAGGGACAAATTAAGTAGAGTGTGCAGGAACTTGTTCATAACGTAAAACACTATCAGTTATCAGATGTATTTCTTAAAGTTTAACATGTTAGTGCAACATGTAAGTTTTCTTTTGTTCGATCCACTATGATGTGTGTAACTGAGTTCAGAGGTCAACAAAAGTATTTTTATATCTGAAGGTCTTTCTTTCTGCAGTCATTTCGGTTTAGCACAATATCTATGTTTGGTTAAATATAAATAAAAGATTTTGGTTGTATAAAGGTCTGCTCTGCCATTTCCCAGTACTTCCCAGTAAGAACAAAATATTTTTTAACTAAAATGGACAATTTCTATGGCTTTAGAACAAAAGATAATAATAATAAAAAACATATCCGCAGAAAGAGCTCTTGCAGTAAAAAACTGAGTATGTATTAAATATATATTCCTGAGCTTCTCAGACTTTGCATTCAAAATTTAGTGTCTTAATATTGCAATTATCCCAAATGATTGTTGGTAATTTCATTTAAAAGGGAATTACTAGCAAATCTTATCATGATAATCATCAAAACCAATAATTATTTCAGCCATGTAGTTTAAGATCATTTCAAAATGCATAAGAGACCAACTTAATATTTGAGAAAACAGATTCAAATCCAAATCATTCATTCATTGTAACTACTAAGAACCCTGAAACAGACTTTATGCCATTTTTGATTCTTATATCATTTATATTGGGACCAGAGATGACGTCACTCTGTGTGTGCTGCACTGCAGCGGAATAAAATTTTACTATCAATTCAAATACAAAAACCAGATGTTTAGAGTTGTCACTGAAAATTATTTTTTAGTATCTTAGTAAAAGGTGTGATTTGCTTGCTTAGCATTGCTAACTGGGAACCTCAGTTTGTGTTCTTTTAGCTGAGACTCTCAAAGGATTGCTGATATTTCCTGTTCTTACGCGACCCAAGATAAAACTGGGAGTCCCCAAAAGGATAAAAATGAGGTACTTTGCTGCAGTAAGTTTCTAGTATTTGCTTAAGTCTCACTCCTTGTTTAGAAATATCAGCCTAAAGTAAAAATTAACATTCATGGAAAAAACTGTTTCAGTTCAAGAAACTTATTCTCACCTTTAGCACTTTTGCTGACTTCATTTGCAAACACTCGTATGATATGGAAAATTTCCATCCAAGTAATTTTTCCAGCAACTTCTGGAAAAATTAAAGTTGAAGGTAATCGATGTCAGTATGACATCGGTATGGTGTGTTCTTTGTCCAGCACTGTGGAAATCTGCAAAATGATCTTTACCAACTTAAATATCTTAGAGTTGTGAAAGTAATGAAGACAAACACTTCTAACCGCAGTATCTTTAGTTATTAGCATAATGATACTATTTTGTTTCCACAGCAGAGAAACGTTATTGAAGTTTGTCTTTATCTGTTGAAATGTGATGAAAAATCAACTACTATCCCCCCTGTGGGTTGTATCTCTTTCTACCCTGTGCTTTTTGGACCACATAGTTCTCACACCTAGAAGGGAACGTTTTCTTCTCAGTATGCTTTCTCGAGTTGTTTTGTGTACGTCTGTCATAAATTATCTATTTTCTTCCAATTTTTTGATGCAATAATAATTTTTCTTCCTCATACTTCCTGTTACTACAAAAATATGTTTATTTTAATGTGTACCTTAATGTGTGAAGCAACAACCCTCCTCCGTCCACCCACCAACTTCCTGGTGCATTTTCACAACATTTTGCAGCTAAAATCAGGTTCAACCTGTTCACATAAGTAACACCAGCAGAATTGGATAATAAAAATCCTCTCTTATATATTTGACACATTGGAAATATTTGTATACCCAGCAAATCAGATGGTAATAAGTCAGGCATGAAACAGAGGAGTTGTACTCATCTTCTCACTAATTAATGAGCCACATGGTGCTGAGCACACTACCCTGCTGCTGCTGCTGCTGCTGCAGCGGCTGCTGCGGCAGCTGCTGGTGAAACGTATCCATAGACACGCCTGCAGGATGTCAGGATACGTTCTTGTCAAATTCCCACCGATCCTCTTGTTTGGAAGAGTAAGAACAGAGCGCGCCAAATCTGAGCTTTAGCTGTGTTTCTGATGTCGACAAGCTGGCACTAAAAAGTTACACTCTAATGATTTAGATGAAAACACTCATTGCTTGAAAAAAACTCAGTTTCAAGACAAAAATGAGACTTGTATGCGTGGTGTCAAAGTATTGCTGGTTGATAAGAATAAAACATCATCTGGACATTGCTACAGAAAAAATACAGTGATGATTTTATCATAGTTCCCCTTTGGAAAAAAAGAAACCAATTTTAAAGATTGTTACAGAAGTTCAAACAGTTTTTTTATGAAAAGGTGGCAAAATACACATTCCACTTCAGTTTGTTGTATTTGTGCCTGAAGAAAAGGAAGAATATTCACCTCTGATACTGTGTTCTCAGTGCTAACCACATTCATCACAAACGCTAAAACATGAGCAAGAGCCAATAGAATCTGCCAGATGCATCACCATTTTCTTTTCTTTGGAATAATAAAATATTGAGTTTTTTCTCTTTCAGCCATGTCAAAACTTCTTTTGACAGGAAGGCTAAGA